AAATACTTGTTTAAAACCCTATTGTCCAAACTTTTCTACACAAGTAGACTAAGTTAACATCACCTTTGAAGCTTTAATTTATCTTTATACATTACTTAGATCTTCCATATTCAATTCTGCACTCAATTGAAAACTCCAAAATCAACCATTGCATGCAAAACTGACTGGAAACGAAGAAAAATCACAAAAACTGAGCAAGGAGACGTCTCCAAAAATTGGAGCCGGCTCCAATTTCTTGGAGCCGCCTCCACACTAAGGGGAGCCGGCTCCCTCCCTCTCTGCTTCGTCGTTCCCTCCTCCAATGAACTCTGCAGCCTCTACACCTCACTGTTATGACTTCCAAATCCTGTAACCTAACCCTAGTGTGTTCCCAGTCCATGTTTAAGTCCTTATACCATTATTAATCATGAACTTAAATCAAGAATTATGCACACAACTATCAAGTTTTAACAGTTTAACAACCATGCAACATATACTGGTGTGTATCAAACTTTAGCACAAACAGAGAAACTTTTTAAGTTACAATTAATCCTGGAACAGTTTAGGAATGCAAAGAACACGAAGCCTAAGGGAGAGAGTAAGGATAGAACTTGCCTTTGAGATCTTTGTTCAAAATCTCTACACCGTCTTCTAAGACCTCCGGCGAACACAATTGTTGTAAACTTCCTCTGTTTTTCTCTCTGCTACTTCCACAGACGTGTGTTGGTTTTCCTTTCTTTGTGTTTTTTTTTATTTGTTTGTATGTAAAACCCTAGGTAGCCTTATTACGTCTATTTATAAGGTTACACAAAACCTAAAGCTTACTGAAGCCCTGATGTGAAACCTATTCGGCCTATAACACCATCTAAGTGAATAAGCATGTCTGCTACTTACCACCAATCCTATAGTAACGTGAATTTAGAAAAACAAGTAACTTTAATTTATTAATTACCAATTAACCAAAAACTAAATAAAACAATTAACAAAGAATTAAAGAACACAATGAAGCAAATAAAATTAAACTAAGTAAAACAATTAAATAATTAAAGTCAATAAATAGGTCAACCAAACAACTAATTACAATTAAACCAATTAAAACATTAAATAAAACAATTAATGAAAAGAAAACAATTAATCAAAATACCATGACTATCCTTTTGAAAATTAAGGGTATTACAATTATGGTTCCTTGATGTGAGCTTGAGTCTCAGAGTCGATGGTTATGGCGCGTATATGCAGTGGGATGCATAACTGGCTATGATGGTTTAATGTGTACCCTGCTAGGTCTAGGTACTCATGCGCACTCCATATGCGATTTGCATGATGCCTACTAGTCAGGTTGAGACTGATATATAGTCCAGTGAGAGTCCTGTAGTGTGAATATATATATTTATATTTTTACGGACTATATAGATATTGTTGAGATATCTAGGATGTATCTGCGTATCGGGTCTTTACTTGGACTGTAGTAGAGTAGAACTTGCATGTGGGCTTGACCCACCTTCATTTTTTAGGTATTCATCATGAGTGGGGATTATTCGTGCTGAGCAGGGATCGTCTACTTCATTCTTCCAGATTATGTTATTTAGGAGTTTCTTTATGTTTCAGCGTTCTGATGTAGTCGTTTTTTTAGTTGGGATTTTCTAGAGGTCTACATAGTATGGATTCCCGAGTTGTATTAGTAATGGAGGTTTGGATGTATCAGAATATTTTCTTATTTATAAAAATTTATTCTGAGGATTTCATTAGTGGATTATCGTTTTAGTTTCTTTCAGCAATTTTGTTTATTCTCAATTATCATGTTTATATTCTGTGTTCGTTTATTACCATTTGTTTTTAATATCCTCAGGTATTCGGGCGTGGGCCTGGCGAACCCGCATCTGAAAATTCGGGGTATCACAAGAACACCAGTCACTCCATGACTGGTGGAGGAATTTGATTCAAATGATCATTTGAATGATGCTCGAGACACAAGTGCCAAAGATGGGTGTGACTGGAGTGGGAAGCTGGCATGGCTCTAGGAATGGGTGGAAGATTTGGCATAAAGTGATATATGCCATCATTCATTTCACCTCTCTCGATCAGCTTCTCGGAGGTAAGGTCCTGAAAAACATAGCATGTGGGATAAAAAATAACTGCACAATTTAAACTCTGAGTTAGTTTACTGATGGATAGAAGGTCGAAATGAAATTTGGGAACGCAAAGAACATCAGTAAGGGAAATTGTAGGAGTTAAATTTATAGAACCCGTATGTGTGATCAGTGCAGTACTACCTGTAGGAAGTTTAACAGGTCTAGAATGAGGAGTGGGTATACCTTTTGTGAGGTGTGAGACAAGGTATGTCACGTGATATGTAACACCACTCTCAATAATCCAAGAAGAAGAATGAATAGTTGAATTACATGAGAGAATACTAGCTATGTAATTGGACAGTTTTTTAATTTTATTTTATATATTTTTTTTATGAATCGATGTGAACAAAAACTTGGATAGGTCTTAAGGATAAAACCGCAATGGCGATGGTGGTCACAGATTCGGAACAGCAGTAAAGATGGCTGAAACGGCTAAACCGGATTGAAAACATAGAGGAGCTGGAACCAATCAAGAAAAAAATGACCAAGATCGAAGAAAATTTATATAATCAGCAAAGTGCAACAAATGAATTGCAGATCTGAAATATAAATCAATAGATAACATGTGAAAATTGAGAGGAATATATTTTTCTCAGGGGTGTTTAAAAAATTCGGTAAATTGAAAAATCGGACCGGACCGTACTGAATTGGACGGTTTGAGCTAGTTGTATAGCGGTTTGGTCCGGTCCTTGGCCCAAAATTATGGAACCGTAATTTTTTGGTCCGGTCTTACTTTAGGGTTATGCTGGACCGGACCAGCCTGGACCGAATCGTTACTATATGTTATATATATATATATATATATATATATCATATCCTAAACCTAAATCAAGTAAAGTTTTCACGTGCATCTTTCTTTTTTTATTTTTTAAATTCCTTAAATTTCTTTTAAAAAAAGTCAAATTTTCCTTTTCAAATATATCTCAATTTTCTTTCCTTTCAAATATATATCAATTTTCTTTCCTTTTTTTGTCTTAATTTTTTTTTTTTTTGCGTGTTATATCTTAGTTAAATTATTATTATTATTTTTTAAACTTTACCCCCTTTAAATTAAAATAAAATAAAAAGGAAATTAACTGAAACCAACAAAACGAACCGAACCGGTATTTTGCGGTTTGGTTTGGTTCGGTTCTATGGATATTATGGTTCGGTCTGATTTAAAAAAAAGTTGAATCGTTATAAACGGTTTGGTCCCAAAATATGCTAAATCCGATCCAAATCGGATCGTGTGCACCCCTAATTTTTCTTTCATATCCATGTGCAGTAGATACAAGAATATATAGACATTAATAAATTTACAGGAATCTAAATTAAGGAAAATAAATCGACATCCCATGATTAGTGGGATATTTTAACACTAATAATGTGATATTTTAACATATATTGTTCAAACATGATAAAAGATTATCATTACATTTTCCATTCTTTTGGTTATTTGGTTATTCCTATTTGAGGAACATTTAATACATTATATATATATATTATATTTTTAATTTTATAATAATATCAAATTTTTTTTTTTTTTTTTTTTAAATTTTCCATTTGTTAGGTGAATGGAGTTTTTGGGTCGAATGTGTTCAATTATGACCTGAGTCTGATCTAAACCCGAGCATTTTTTAAATAGCTTTTATACTAAGTTGTGTTTGGAATATTTGATGGAATTTGGATTTGGAAACAAGATTTACCTTGTTTGGTATCATCAGATTACAAATGGGATTTAAAAATGATGGGATTTCAAATGCCGTTTTTAACCCGTTTCAAATACCGTCTAAAAATTAGAATTTGACGGAATGTGAAAGATAAATACTGTTTAAGATGATATTTTCGTAATTAACATTGTTAAATATTACTTAACCTATTACAATCTCTCTATTAGCTCTAACCTATTAAATATCGTTATATATATATATATATATATATATATATATATATATATATATAAAAGTTAGTAATCAAATATCATCATTTTTTAATTGGTATTCTCCAACCAGATTGATCCACCATCAGTTTTGTATTTTTGTACATAATATATTACAAAATTTTATAACCAAAAGTCATTCACAATTCACATCGTGCAACAAAACTTATATTCACGTAGTACAGATTGAAAAAATAAACATTACACTTATATAAGCCAAGTTCATAAGCCTTTTATATAATAAATAAATAAATATATTAATAATTCAAAATTTAATCTATAAGCGAAAGTATAGCCATCAATTAATATGCTTCTTAATTTTTTAGTGTATATATTGTTATTTGTTGTATATCAATTTCTAAGTAGCATACTGACATACTATTTAATTACTAGTAATTTGCTGAGTAATTTATATACTAATAAGTTATTAATATATATTTATACAAATTTTTGTTAATATACATATTATTTTTGCCACAAAGTAATTAATATACTTTAATAAGCGTGCTTAGTATTTAATAAATGAATTTATTTAAAATATTAATTAAATCAATGCTTAGACTTAAGTTTACATTTTAGTGTTTTTTTTTAATATGTTGGTTTAAGTACGTTAGTAATGGTAGTTGAATAAGTTAAATTTTTTTTTATTTTTTATATATTAATAAATAATAATTATTTTTTAATTGATTTGTTAAATAAATTTTATTTTTCAATTCTAGCATTGTTGTTTTTATATTTAATGTAATTTTAAAATATATTTTATAATAAAATACATATATCATTTATTAGTTAAATAAGAACAAAAATAATATAATACTGCGTAATATTTTTATTTCAAATCTAATTTTAAATCCAATTTATTCCAAACAAAATAAATATATTATTTATTATTTAAATAAGAACAAAAATAATATAATACTACGTAATATTTTTATTTCAAATCCAATTTTAATTCCAATTCCTATTCCTTTTCCAAATCCCAAAATAATTGGTTCAAACAAAGCTCGGGTTTCACAGAAAAGAGCTTCGGGGCTTCGTGGTTGTTCACTTTTTCCTCAGCGTAGGTGTGGTGGTAAACCTCTGGTTTCGTCACTGTCGTCAGTAGAGAGTAGAAGCAATGGTGGCAAAGAAAGGAGCAACTAGGGTTTCAGAAGTTGCGGAGGATTTGGCACGCGTCTCCTTACAAGCCATCCTCTTGGCTGATAGTTTCGCTCAAAAGTTCCGTCCTATCACGCTTGAACGCCCAAAAGTATCCCCTATCTCTTTCTCTATCTATAAATACAATATATACGTATACACACACACTCTGTTGTGTTTACATACTCAGTTGATTTTCTGATTATTGTTGTTACGTATTCTGTTGTTTTTATTGGGTATTTATGCGTGATACATGTTAACTAAATGGGGTTTAGAGAATTGATCAAATTTGTAGCTTAATACAATCATTTGAATTATTAACTGTTAATTTTAGTTAATAATTTAACAGTTAAAAAATTTCGATTACCAAGAACTACAGGTGCTCACTAATACTATTCAAGGATTCTAGCTCTTTACTATAAAATTGTAGTACATAAGTATATGTTTTATGAATGGATGTATATATATGTTTCGTTATATACACTTAGTTTTAATCAAATGAAAACAACCTACATTTATGTATATATATGCATGTGTTAATCATTTGAATGTTTTTTTTTCTTTATTAAATTTTTGTATGGAGATTTAAAACCATATAGGCTGCTAAGTGTTTCCTGGAAAACTTGAGGCTTAGGTTGGTTGGTTTGTTTTGTTATTGGCAGCAAAATTTTACAGTTCTCAGAGAAAATGAAGAAATTGGGAATCAATATTTACAACCGTGAAACTTGATTTACGTGGAAACACTTCTGGAGTGTTGTTCTGCCGAACCATTAACGTGTCAGCAATGAAATGCTGTAGCCAACCAAACTAGTTTGGTCGTGAAGGATCAACTTCCTGTGGGCGTGATTATAGTAGGAAAAAAGAGAATAAAACAAACCTTTTATGTCCCATATTATATATATTCCATGTCTCATCTAACCACCCCACCCCCCCCCAAAAAAAAAGTCATGTAGCATGAACTTAGTTACATGCCAGGTGTAGGTATGGTTCACCAACTTGGCACACCTCAGCTGAGTCGCAAAGGCAGAATCCGAGTCAGACCAATACATGGTGGAAAAACAGGAGATTTGGGCCTGACTCGCCCTAGTCAGCAATGACCATTTAAAAAGTGCTGCGACAATAGTATGAGTCTGCTTTCTTTGGTGCTTCAACAAATGCAATCAATTCTATTCCCTCATTTGGGTTTGTAAACCTTGATCTAGAAAAACCACAAAAAATTGATCATGCAAATTGAGTTGGAAGAATAAAATTTTGCGAAAAAGATGTTGGATTGAACACCCATTTTCATGCAGACATAGAGAGAGAGAAGGGAAGGTAGGGGAAAAAAATTGATACCTGAATAATTTGGTGATTACTTGGGATTTGGGATGGTTTATGAGATTAGGATTGAATCATACCAGGGTTGAGCTCTTCTTCTCCATCTATGTTTGTAATACGTCTTTACCCAACATAGCAGTTTTTTCAAGACCTATAAGAGCTCTCTCTCTCTCTCTCCATCTATCCTGTTTTCCATACTATCTTTGGGTAGATGCAACTATTACCCATGTCATTTGAATAGTTTTTGGCTCGAGGGCTTGGATAAACCAACAATGTTGATGGAGCCGTTGTCAAGTTCTACGCATAGCTAAGCCCAAAACTCAATTAGTAAATTTCTCCTTAGATTTTGTTTTGGTCAAGTAGTTTGGATCAAGTAAGCTTTGGCTATGAGGCTATTCCACCAAACTCGCCACCCTAGCGCCTTGGGTTCTTGTATAGCAAGTATTAACTTCCATGGGCCTCACTCTCAAATTAACCTGGAAATATGGGATACTAGGTTGGTGAGTGATGTACAACAAAAATTCATAAATAGGTTGATCTGTTGGAGTAAAAAAAAAAAAGGACACTATTTTGTTTAATCTGTTTAGCTTGGTGAAACATTCATATATAATGTATTAATGTGTTTCATGTCATAAAATGTTATTCAAGTCTTCGTAAGAGTGACCTTCCCACCTTAGACAAATACAGCTTCTTCCACCCACACCACCAATGGAAAGGTGGAAGATTCCAATGGAAGATCCCGTGGGGAGTTAGGATCCCGTGGTGGAAAGGTTTGAGAGGAGGAAGAAGCAATCTCTCTCGAAAGGTGGGAGAGTCACTTTGATGAAGAGCACTCTGTCCAGCCTTCCCACTTATTTCTTCTCTCTCTTTCAGATTCCATCTTCTGGCATAGATGATTGAGAGGTTGCAAGCAGTGTTATCAAAGGCCTAAGCGCACTAAGGCGCCAGAGATCCTTTGGAGCCTAGGCGCAAGGCGTACAATTTCCGGCACATAGATGCGTTGTTCGAGCTTCCTTTTTAGTGCCCAACATTCCGCGCCGTATAACATTGCCGGTCTAGTCACTATCCTATATACTTTCCCTTTAAATTTATTTGGCATTCATTTCTCACATAGAACCCCACTAGCATTCCTCCACTTTGTCCAACCTATTCAAATTCTACCACTGACATCATCATTAATCTCTCCATCCTTTTGTACAATTGATCCTAACTATTGAAAATAATCACTTTAAGTAATGCTTTGGTCTTGAATTTTTATTACTATATTATCATTTCCTATATTACTACCGTTGAAAGATTTATATATTTAAGTTACACCCTCTCTAACAGCTTAAGATTTTGGAATAGATAACTGTTAACATGGTATCAGAGTCAAAGGTCTCGAATTTAAACCTCACTGTCACCCTAATAAAAAAAATTAAAAAACACTTGTTGGACCAAAAGAAGGCCACACGTGAGGTGATGTGTTGAAGTATTTATATATTTAAGTTACACCTTCTCTAATAGCTTAAGCTTTTGGAGTAGATGGTTGTTAACAACTACTAAATTTACATTCCATGTATTACTTTGAGGGTGGGCCTTGGTGCAACGGTAAGGTTGCTCCATTGTGACATGGAGGTCATGGGTTTGAAACCGGAAACCTCCTCTCCATGCGGAGGTCAGGCTGTGTACATCTATCCGTCCCCATACCCCACAACACGGGAGTCTCGTGTGCTGGGCTATCCCTATATTTTAAACGTAGGTTATGTTATCATATATATTCAGGTTGAGACTCCACTTGAAGCTGGGCATTTTTTGCCTCCAGGCTTGCCATTAATAACTATTGGTTTATAGATATCCAAACCAAAGACATTTGATATGGTAAAGACATCGTATTTTTAATGTTCTTATTTTATTTTATGGGATAAAATAGTGTGTATGTAACATAGAGTGTTCAATATGGACACTTCACTGATTTTGAAGCAATAAAATTTATGTACAATGATATTATAATCTTGAACTATTGAAGATGCCTGCTAGGTGCATGTCCAACTAAACATATTGGACAAATATTCTATACTTTTACACACCATTTTTGACATAATTAAAAATTTTCATTTTGAAAGGTCAATATAAGCACATAGTTCAAGATTATATGATTAAGTATGAACATGGGCTCCATATTGATAATTTATTCTATCAGCTCACTGTTCACATGACCTTGAAGTTCCAAGGTCTGAACTGGACGATAATATCATTCCTTGTAGCACTAACCAAAGCTAGCAGAACTGCTGTCTCCTTGCCGCTCTCCCATCTTCAACTGGATTGAGGAGGCTTTAGAAGATACCAAAAAATTGGATGTTTCTTTTTGGTTTATGATTCTAAAAAGTAGCTTCTTTTAAGTACACATGGTCACTTATTATCAAGGATTACGCTAACAAAATGAAGGTAATGATGAATTCTTCTTCTTCTTTTATTTATTATTTATTTTAATTTTAATAAAGTAGGTATTTCCACAGAAGTGGTTTCTAGGGGTGAGTTTGAACTTGTCAAACCATTTAAAAAAAGTAAAAAATGAAAAAAAGAAGTTTTATGTTTTTTAATTTTTTTAATCTGTGACAACTTCAAACGATACATGCTTATTTACTGCATCATGACTCAGTATAGTATTGCTGCATTGCATTTGTCCTTGTGCAGCACTGCCGCTCAAATAATGGTTTATATTACCGAAGAAGATCAGTCTTTATATTTTGCAGTTCAACATTATCCTGCTCCTTTGTTTTTGACGATTAGCAGTCAATTTTTTTTTTCCTTTTCCGTTTTCTTTTTAAATGGATTCTATCTTTTGACTTATCTGAAGAATGATTGGAAATGACATTTAAGATCTTAAGATAGGGAAATAGGTAATGCCTTTCTATCTATTTTTTTGCAATTTCTGTCTGAAGAAAATCAAAGCATGTTGCTACATTCTGAATTTCATTTCATTTTTGGCGACAATTTCTGCAACTCGCTTTAGCATTTGCTTTGTACGTTTAAAGTGAAGACATCAAACATGTTTAAATATATATATATATATATATAAAAATAATCCTCCCCCCCCCCCCCCCCCCCCCAAAAAAAAAAAAAAAACCACATAAGTTGAATCATGCATTTGTGAATGGGTACTTGTGAATTTGTTTAAATTTAAAAGATTTATGTTTCTTATGATGCCAGTTCTTACATTTACGGGAATGCTTTGTTGCTGAAGGTACTATTGCCTTTGGTTAATGTCCCTATGATTGATTACACCTTAGCATGGCTTGAATCTGCTGGGGTTGAAGAAGTTTTTGTTTTTTGCTGTGCTCATTCCAAGCAAGTGATCGATTATTTGGATAATTCAAAGTGGTTCGTTCAACCAAACTTTTCAGTCACAACAATAGAATCACACAATTCTGCTAGTGCTGGAGAGGCATTGCGTTTGATTTATGAACGAAATGTGGTATGTTAAGTTTTTGATTTTAATTATATATATATTTATATATATATATATATTTTTATGCCTCATTTGTGATATAATATCTTTGTGTATTTAAAAGAAAGTATTTTTTTTCCCCATGAAAATGGTTGGTTTTAATAATTTCATATCAAGAAGCATGTAATATTCTTTTGTATGAATGATTTGGGTGTTTTTTGTCATGGAAATAAGCATGCGTTCTCTTTTTATATGAGTTGTTCTGGACTTGACTTTTATGCTTGTAATATTAACTTTTTTTTTTCTCCTGCTCTTACAAGTTGTAAGGTAATATTATTCTGAAATAAAAAAAGAAGAAGAAAAGACTAGAGAACACATTGATCCATTAACAGAATTGTAAAATGCGCATCTTATGGGAAGAAAGCATGGGACTGACTTATCATTATGGTTCTGTTCGCATTTGCTGGCTGTATGAAACAAAAAGGAAAAACAGAATGATTGGATTTTGTTGAAGTTGATGTGGAAAGGCTTTTGATTATGTTTAGTTATATTTATTATTTAATACAAAACCTGAGTATAATTGCAGTTAGCGGGAAATAAAGTTGCGCCACAAATGAGGGATGATCCGTGAACTAGGATTGCAATTATACTTGGGACATTATCTCAAACTGACTTGAGGAAATTCCAAATCATCCAAAAGCTCACATGCATGATTTTGATTAGACATTTTTGATATTACGAAAAGAATTGAAGGATTTTTTTTGACTAAGTGAAGGGGTAATGGTTGTATAAAATAAAAGCAAAGACTGCTTTCTAGCCTGATACCTTAAAGAAAAGAATAGCCTTATAAGTTTTCGTATAAAAGTTGATGATGACCCTATAGCTAGGGCGGATCTAGGAATTGTCAATGGGGTGGGCGGCTAACACTAGTAATACTTTTTTTTTTTTTTTTTTGGCTGGGCTAAAATTGCCTGTAGTAAAATTTTTTTTTTTTTTTTTTTTTTTTGGGGTGGGCTCAAGCCCACCAGAGCCCACCCCTAAATCTGTCCTTGCTCTATAGGAATTTAGATCTAGATATTTCACATAAAATCATTTAATATTTAAATTTTATTACAATATCTACAAACATATATATTTTCATTAGACTATTTTAATTGTTTTTGGTTGAATCTTTATATATATATAACTATCTCTCTACATATTGTATGGACTTATCTAAAATTGCTTTAAGGCCTATTAATGGGTTTATGACATAGTGTTATTTTGGTACCATTTAGTTGCTGTCTCTTAGTGGACTTCTTTCTCTTGCTCTAATGCAATTATGCATTCCTTGCTCATTGTGTTTGGCACCGGAAGCTGAATTTTGATGGCTGCTCTAGTAAACCTGTGCGGATGGAAACTAAACTAGAGCATCTGCAGCGACGATAGTTAGTATTGCATTGTACTTTGCTAGCGGAGTCTTAGTGAACAATCTCTTTTTTGGCTGTTCTATGGCAGCTTAAAGTTTGCACTTAGGGATTCGAATCTAGTTATAACTAAGGTCACTACTCATTTTATGCTGAAAAGTTCTTTGTTGGGTTGCTGTTGGTGCTCCTTTATAAAAATTTATCAAAAAAATAAAAATAAAAGAAAAGAAGAAGAAAAAACTTAGTAGAGATGCCGTTATGTTGCTGCCCTTAGCAATTACATCATATTTGTTTAGGTGTCAAATTTATCGACTGCTTTGGTGTCCTTTTCTTTTTGGTTACTGCTTATGAGATCAAGTCAATCTGGAACTTTTAACTAAGAGGGTGTCCCCTTTGAATAGTTTCTCACTCGAAATTAAATGACCTCTCAAGCTTATGTTTTACCTATTTTTTTGCCCTCTCAACAGGCTCTTTTGTTCTTTGAGGAGATCTCCTCCTCTATTTATTCATTTATCTTTCTTCAACATTCTCATCTTCCTGGGAACGGTAAAACTTTTCTTTTCCTACTGCTTTGCCTTTTGGTTGCTTAGGCTACGTGTAGATGGATGAATGCTTTAATTTTGCTTGAGCGATTTCAAGCACCAAGGATTTTTGCTACAAAGTTAGCTTGCTTATGATATTTTGGAGTATTTGGAAAGAAAACAAAGTCATGAATATTTGTAAGAGTTTAGTGACATTCAATCATGCATCTCAGTATTTGAATATGCATCTCAGTATTTGAATACCAATGATTATATTTCTATTCGGTTGAATATCCATTAAAGTAATTTGGAACTCCGGCAATAAGAAAGTTGGAATGCTGTTTCTGTTAGATTTCTTTATGGAATATGGGATGTTCAATTAATTGATGGCTTGGTACATGCAGGCCAGTTCGTATTCATATTTTAATTGGAATACTCTATTGCTTATATTCTATGAAGAATTTCTCAAAATTTCTGGGCATCATTGCTATTTCTAGAAACTAATCTTCTCCCTGGATCTTACCTTCTGACAGTATTTCTCTAATGGACATCTATATTCTCGCTAATCTCCCATCAATAACAGTTTGTAATTCACTATGACAAATAAATTGGTCATATATTGATGCACCCCAACACCATAAACCCTTGATCGTGGCTGAAGCCATTGTTCAATGTGTCTTTGAAGGCTTATTTGACATGAGAATATATCAAGTCGCTGTCATTGTATATCATTTATTGTCTTTCAAGTGAAGATTTCTGTTGCATATATTTGAAACTGAAAGTCTGAGAGGTTGAATATACTTTTATAAGGGAATTGGCTGAAGTCTGGTCTCTGCCTCTGAGTTTCTTTTAGAAATTTAAGATATTTTCCCTTTTTCTTGATTGTCAATAGGTTTTTTCAACTTGATTATTTGATAATTTTCTGATCTTCTTTTGCCTCGAAGATACATGGAGATTTTATCCTCATTACTGGAGATACATTGAGCAACATGTCACTTACCCAAGCACTTCAAGAACACAAGGAGAGACGGAAAAAAGATAGTAATGCTGTGATGACCATGGTTATTCAACAGTCAAAGCCTTCTCCAGTTACTCACCAATCTCGACTTGGTACTGATGAGCTGTTAATGGCAATTGATCCTGATACGAAACAGCTTCTGTACTACGAGGATAAAGCAGACCATTCAAAAGGGACTATAGCTCTTGATAAAGCATTGCTTGCTGATAATCATTCTATTTCTCTTCATAATGACAAGCAGGTTTGTTTCTTAGATCTTTCAGTTAAGTTGTTTGTTTTTGTTTTAAATCACTCACTCTTCTGTTAAGTGACAAGTTTACCTTCTTGTGCTTCTAATGCCCATCTTATCCATTGCTAACCTTTTCTGACATTGATGAGATTTTTTTAATGATCATGCAACCTTTTTCTTTGGGTCATGATTGAGAATGCAACTACTTCCGCAATAATGAAAGCTTTGATGTTACGTGTTGATACGTTTTGATATACAGTGATTAATGTTTCACACTGCTTGTCTACTTGTATTTGGTTAGTGGCTAGACAACTTATTTCTTTGTTCTGCAGATATATTCGAAGTATTTTTTTGATAAGTAATGAAGATAGAATGCACCTAAAATTGGATTCGATTGGGTTCCCTGATCTTTATGCCCCATAAGGATTAGATTATTATAGATTGGAGCTTACATGGATGTGAATCTGTGCTCCTCTTCCAATTTCTTTGATGATGCATTCTTGTTAATACTTAATGGTATCAATGCTGATTTCATCATCCCCATTCTGAAGGAACTTAGTTGGGGATTTGGAAGAATGTTAGGAAGGTAGGGAGGGGTTGTGTCCCACCCCAAGTCTTGAAATAAACTTTCAATAATTTATGGCATGATAAAAATAAAATACTACTAAGCCTTTGAATATTTAACAAAGGAAATCCACTTTAATAAAATTGTAAATCCAGCAAAAGTTTCAATTTAAAATCTCATAACATCGAAGGGGAACATTTTCATAAAATTGTAATCATAGTTCTTCGGCAATTACAAAATTAAAATGATTAGGTTTTCTCTAGTGACTTATTTATTTGTAGCAACATGTTAACATCATCCTCTGGTGAGTTCATTCCTCGTTAACTCAACTCTATTTCTCACCCCACCACCCCACCCCCCGGGGAAGTTAAAGCAAACACACAAACCCATTCCTCATTGCTCTTTGCTTCTAGAGAACTTGTAGCTAAATTCATATATACAACCAGATAGAAGGCAGAAGAATGACATATTGCATTGTAAAATATATGTATGTAATTATCTATGTGAAATCTAATTGAAATAAGAAAAAGAAGAAGTATTCAGACTCCAACCATCAACCAATTCTAATTTAGAGAATCAAACCTAAACATAATGACCTCGACATGTATTCCGCACACACCGGCGGATTCCTGGTCATTCTCACTGAGACCACTAATCCGTAACTAAGTTCCGGACAATTCTTGGTTTTTCAATTGAAGGGCTTTCACTCCCTACTTGTTTTCTGCCGGATGTACCTTACGAGCGCACACAATAAATTAACAAGTTGCATCACTTATGGAACTTATAAGATACAATTCCTTTTCCACCAATTATGTGGTACAAACAAATCTTGTACTGTTCATGTACCAAATTTTAACTTAAGCAAGCATCATGTCAAACTACACCAATGCAGTAATATTAAGCATCATGTAAAGTTATAGAGCTATTCAAGTAAATTAAGTCACCTTTAACAATACTACGTCATATTACATCGGGAGCCACATTAATTATCAAGATATACTAAAACCAAGATAAATAGAAAATATCAGAGGATTTGGGTTCTTCGTTTAAGTTCCTCCTTAGCTCTGTTCTCATTTAAAATTTTTGAAGCAAGTTATCATGAGACATCATATGATAACCAAATATCTAATAAAATATGCTCTAAAGATCCAGCACCTATTAATAAAATTTCACATTCAATATATACACATCAACATGCTTATATAGTTATATGTATGTATGTTGTGTGTTTATAAAAATATATCAGATTATTCAAGTGCCAAATATAGGTAGTGGTGTAGGCATATTAAAAGTATAACACCATTCAAATATAAATTAGTCACCCAAATGATCATGCACGCGAATAATTAGATTGTTCCTAAATAAGTTAACCAGGAAAGCTATAGGTGTCCATGGCACATTCTCAAACAGTAGGTATATAATGAGATCATTTGCATCTAGATTCACACACACACACACACACAAGCATAACCAAATAGACAATAGAAAAGAAAACATTTGCAATATAAATCAAGAGTAAATTATCCTACCTGTTTATGAATGTTTTTCTTTGAAATCAAACTAAAGATTAATATCCATAGCTACACTGATAATGTTCTTTGCAGGATTGCTATATTGACATATGCTCTCCAGAAGTCCTAAGCCTTTTCTCGGACAATTTTGATTATCAACATCTACGCCGACATTTTGTCAAGGGATTGCTTGATGATGATGTACGTGTTGCTCTATATCTCTCTCAAATGACATTGAGAATTTCTCCTCTCCCCCTCTTTGTGTGGGGTGTGTGTGTGTGTGTGTATATAACTGAATCTACAAAGCATGGTCCATGTATCCGGGCTCAATTATATGTACCCTTTTTCTAGTTTAGAGTTTAGAGTTCTGTGCATTTAAACACATGTGTCTGCATAGTTTTATGTGTATGTATGTGGTTCCCTACTGGGCAGAAGAATCTCTGTTTGCCAGGTTGACCTGCCCATGTCCACTTTTTGCATTTGGTTTAGATTGACAGGGTTGGTGAGGTGGGACCTTGGGAGTTACTAAGGATGTTAAAGCATGCCGAGAATCGGATAAGAATGATAAAATATGTATACGGTTTCTCTTGTTTGTGTGTATGATATGGCCGACACAAACGTATAATATCTATCTAATATCTAGTGTGTCTCTGGTTTCCTGAACCTGCATCATATTTTGAAGTGATGAATGGAATCATCTGCACTCTTCGTTGAACTTGCATATCTGTTCTTTGCAAGACATGCTGGAGATTGCTGATCATTTATTGGTACATTGTTCCTTCACTCTAGGGGGGTGGGCCCCGAATATGGGATGAATTAGTATATCTTGTCTAATGCTAACTATTTGCAGGGTGGATTTAAAAGGAATAGGCAACTGAGGTTCATATATTGTGGAAAGTATCCTTTCTAGCACTTCTATGGTTGATTTCAGGAAGGAATTAAAAGCATTTCAGGGATTTTGAGTTGGAGTTTGAAAATCTGGAGGCTTGCACTACGAATATGGTTGCTTTCTGTAGTTCAATGCATCTTGCATTGCAATGATCACTTTCTTAGTATTCCATAGATTTTTGTAATCCGTTGTTGTAGTATACTGCTTGCATATTTAATAGGGTTACTTCATGTCTATGGCATGTGCTATTTCTTCAACAGGGTATTGGGTTGCTCCCAAGGTTATAAATCATGTACGCACACACGGGTTTCGGACGTGGTTGCCTTGACCTTTGTGAAAACTTCATCCTACCATAATATTTAATGGATATAAAATTAATGAGTCTCATTTTCAAAGAGAAGATGCAAGTAGGATTTTACAGTAGCTCAAGTGCCAGCCATACTTAAACATGGTCACTGCCAATGGATGTAGTTTTATATCGGCCAACTGATGCAATTTTATATAATTGCAAGGTTGAATTCAATATTAAATGCCATAGTACAAGTCTAGCAGAAAAATACTTAAAACCTTGATTCTGGTTGTTCAACTTTGCAAGAAAGGTATAAAATTTTCTCCAACACTATGTTCTCATCGAAGTGTGATGAATTAAATAAATATGTGTATGTGTGTGTGCACATGTGCCATTTGTTGCCTTAGAAGGTGAAAATATGCTGTTTTCATCCTTCAATGGATTATATAAGGGCATTATATTCTTGAGAATACTAATTTATATGTATTTTACCTTTCGTTGATTTGTTTTAATGTGTTTGTTTTGTGAATGAATCTGTCTGGGATTCTTTTTCTCAGTTGTTTTTGTTTAAGGTGAAATTATCTTGTTAATAATGACAATTTTGTAGAATTTTATCAAATATGACTTTGTTTCTGTATGAGCTCTACATTTTTATCTATTTTTTTTTGGATTATATATTATCTCTATGATCCTTTTGAACTATTATTTTTATACTCTCAGATTATGGGCTACAAAATTTTCACTCATGAAATTCACTCAAGTTATGCGGCTAGGATCGATAATTTTCGAAGCTATGACACCATTAGCAAGGACATAATCCAGAGATGGACATACCCATTGGTTCCCGATGTCCAATTTTTTGGAAATTCTGCAACTAAGCTTGAAAGACAAGGCATGTACCGAGCATCAGGTGAGGATCATAAAAACAATTTGTCTTGCTTGCAAGAAACATTTATGCCCTAATAAGTTTCATTACTTTTTGGTAGGTCTATTAAATTTTGTTTAGCTATTCATAATTATGCTATTTCGGTATTTGCACACATCTTGTCTTGGAAAGAAATGATTCACGTTTTTTCTTTTATTAAATATAGAAAATGCCAATGTTTTTACTGTTAGATTAAGATTGTTACCCTATATTCTAATTAGGTCGGATTATGATTGTTATTTGCCTAAATTTTAACTATCTTTATGAATTGTTATTGATTTTGATATAAAGTTGCCTTATTTTACTTAGTTATACTAATCAATTTCATCCATCCTATCACAAAAACACAAAGGTAAATAGTTAGAGCAGGGACACAAGAATCTTTACATGGAGAACGCTAATTGCTAAACAGGAAAAAACCATGGAACCCAGTCCAAGCATGAACCATCCGCTATAATTTGGTCGGAGTGCGTGCAATAAATTAGACTTAGAGAGGGCGGGGAGTGGGGAGATAGGTCATATGGATATTTGCCTAAATTTTAACCATCTTTATAAATTATTGTTGATTGTGATATAAAGTTCCCTTATTCTACTTAGTTTTACTAATCAATTTCATCCATCCAATCACAAAAACACAAAGGTAAATAGTTAGAGCAGGGATACAAGAATCTTTACGTGAAGACCCTAAACAGGAAAAAACCATGGAACCTAGTCCAACCATGAAGCATCCACTATACTAGGACAATGTTACAACTAGGTTAACAGATTCCACACGCTAGAACCTTAGTTACCTCTTGATGTAGACTGTTGGCAAACTCTCTACTCGATTGTATGATGATCTCCTTGCAGCTGATTACTCAATCACACATATTGGTCAATCTATTGGAAAATCTAGTATTTGGGAACTAGGGTTTTCTTTTTTAAAATAAAATTCTCTCTAGAATGCTTAGAGGCTTAGATCTCCATCTTAAACTGTTGAAAAGCATAAAACAGAAGTGAAGAGAGAAATGAAACACGAAGAACACAAGGATATTACGTGGTTCAGCCACTAAGGCCTACATCTATGGCACAAAGAGCCCAAAGGGTTACATCACTTTATAATATATTCTCTCTTGATCTTTGTATACAATGATCACCTCTATTTATAGGTGAAAGAATAGAGGTGATAAATATGGAAAATACATTAATGGAAGATTCCTAAAATCAATACCATAAATCACTCCAATCAATATTCTATCATAGGCTAAAATCTCTCCTATGATATTCTCATATCAAATATTCTGTCAAGGAGTAATTTAAGGATTCCTATAATAATATATTCCAAATATAACATCTTCTAACACTCCCCCTCAAGCTGAAGGGTGTATGGAAATAACACTCAGCTTGCATATCAAATCATGAAACAGATCATTTTCCAACGATTTGGAAAAAGACAATAAAACTGCTAGAGACACGGTGAATGCGAAGAACAGTGCTATCGAACACACTGGCAGCCCAAATAAGTCCACATAGCACCGAACACATGGCGAAGGTGATGAACAATGCTACCAAACACACCGGCAGCCCAAACAAGTCAATAAAAATTGCCGGAGACACGGCAAAGGCGAAAACATTACTGCCGAACAAACCGGCAGCCCAAACAAGGCACAAATAGCACTGAGAAACCCTTAGCAACATTTCAAATGCTAAGGGAATACCCCAAAATAGGGGTCCGAACCTAGGAAGAAAATTAGGCTCTGATACCATGTTGAAAAGCATAAAACAGAAGTGAAGAGAGAAATGAAACACGAAGAATACAAGGATATTACGTGGTTCAGCCACTAAGGCCTGCATCCACGGCACAAAGTGCCCAAAGGGCTACATCACTTTATAATATATTCTCTCTTGATCTTTGTATACAATGATCATATCTATTTATAGGTGAAATAATAGAGGTGATAAATATAGAAAATACATTAACGGAAGATTCCTAAAATCAATACCATAAATCACTCCAATCAATATTCTATCATAGGCTAAAATCTCTCCTATGATATTCTCATATCAAATATTCTGTCAAGGAGTAATTTAAGGATTCCTATAATAATATATTCCAAGTATAACATCTTCTAACATAAACTATCTTTAACTCCATGTTTCTAGTAAATATTGGAGACTCATGCTATATGGTAAGTTGATTCCTTTTAGAAATCTGGTTTGGGAGAGTTGCCAAAAATAAAAGTCCGCAGGGTTCGATTGGTTGACCTTATATATCGACACCTTTAGGTAACTCTTTGATAGAACATTCGATTGGGGGACACTGAATTGTAAACCAATTTTCTTGATAAACTTCAATCGATCCACCTATCAATCGGGGCTTACTGGAGAGCCTCAACTGATTGGTTTATCGACACATTCTGTTTTGTACAAATTCAATTTTTTGAAATTAAAAAAAAATAAAAATCAGTCTTTTAAAATTGTTTGGAAAACATATATTTTAGAACTCTGAACTTTAAAGCAAGTTCAGAAAAGCTTTAAGATCAAATCTAGGTCAATTAAGGTCTTTGAAGGTCTCATTTACCTTTAACCTAGATATGTATTTGAGCATGCGGATTTTACACCATGTTCTTCGATAATCTTTTTCTCTAATATATTCACTGATTTTAGACTAATGACTGACACTTGGACACATTTGCTAACACATAACTCGTATACCTAACATCAAATTTTTTTTGGTTGGCATGCAAATTTGGCATTCTTTGTGTTGGGGTCCTTTGAGGCAAGAAATATTTGTATTCAGTTCTAGCCTATCATTCCCTATGGCAGTGTTCAAGCCTGAATGTTAGATGGTTTAAAAGGAGGGCACATAAACCTCATGGTCCTCGTTAATCTTGAGAAGGGGAGACGAAAAAAAATAATAATAACCATTCTTCTGTAGCTTGTTCATTGACATTGATGACATTATGAATTATAACTGTGCTGTGAAGCCGCTAAGTTGTTACAGAAATGGCAGGTCATCATTCCCTATGGTGTCCTTAGTACAGGAGTTGTGATATTGCAAATTTTAATGGGAGATTATTAGTCATTTGGTTTTCTTATTATAGGATTATTGTTTACTTGATTTCAATTACCATATTGGTGTCTGCCTATGCTTTAACTTGATTGAATTACAGGTAATAGGGGCAAAACTTATGACCATGGTCCAAGTGTCGCTTGAAGGAAGTATTTTGTGCCTCTTGAGTTGTTATAATTTGCGACTTGGTGGTGCAAAATGTTTTGCTGTTCTTTTTATGTGTCAAACACGCAGTGGTTTGAGATATTAATTTATGTGGTGATGTTCGTGATTAGGAGTTTGAGGAATTACCGGACAAAGAGTGTGTTCTGGCTTAAGGGGACAATTAAGCGAGTTTCTTTCTTTTCTTTATTTGTTGGTGGATGTTTTTAGGGCCGTTGCTTGGTGCAGTGGTCAAAGCTTGAGTTGCCAAGCATATGACAACACGGGTTCAAACCTAAGAAAGGTGACCACTTTGTGCAAATAATGGCAATTTTAGATCTATACCTCGTCCACCCCTGAGGGTGAGCCGTGGTGCAACGGTATGGTTGCTCCTCTATGCATGCGGAGGTAAGGCCGCATGCGTTTGACCCTCCCTAGACCCTGCAATGGCGGGAGCCTCGTGCACTGGATTTGCCTTTTTTTGTTTTTAACCTAGTCCATCCCTCCTGCTATCCTCGATTAATGGATATCAACACTAACTAATACCTTTTTTAGGTTAATTAGGTGAATTTGGAGGTATCTAGATATGAAATATTTGAATAGAGATTCTTTTATTAGGTACTGTTGTGTCAGGTTGATGGTTCCTTCTGTTGGAAAAGAATATAGGTCTCAAAGTTCTTTCCATGCTCATCTTCTTTGCTTGGACATTGGTTTGAGGTGCTTAAAAATATTGACTATTGAACATTTATTTTGAAGGGGTAAGGTCAATGGTACTCGAAAATATGGACGAATGACAATCTTTTGGTCATAGTGTTTTATGACAATTGACAATTTTTTCGGACCTTTTCAAACGCGCAAGTTTCTTCAATTTTCTTACATCTTATGTTAGTAGAAGCTCTTGTGCTACTGGATAGACTGGATTGAGCAGTTATATTATTAATTGACCGTAATAGAACCAGCTATCTTTCCCCCCTTTATTTTATATCATTTTACTTATATGAATGAAATTTCGGTTGGTTGGATGTTTTCCTTGGTAGTATATTGATATCATTTTATAATTAGTATAATGTATTTCAGGTAGTTAATTATCTTATTGACTGTTCATTTTATTATTAGTATAAAGTACTTCAGGTAGTTAATTATTTTATTGACTGTTCCGTCACACAGTTAATCTCAAAGCAATATCAAGCAGTGATGTTCACCATATACCCTTGTATCACATCCATGGTTTTGAATCGAGAGCCATTACTTCTAATTCAATTTTGGGTTACTCTTTTCAGCACTTCATTTATGGTATTTGTGTAATTGATTTTCTTCAGAGATTGGGCAATCGCGTTCTGCACAAATTGGTCCTTTTACTGTTGTTGGAAATGGCACTTCCATTGGGAACAACACTAGAATTTCAAATTCAGTTGTTGGCGAAGGTTGTACTATTGGATCAAATGTTCTAATAGAGGGTTGTTATATATGGCATAATGTAACCATTGAGGATGGCTGTAAGCTGAGGCATGCAATAGTATGCGACGGGGTGTTAATGAAGTCGGGAGCAGTTTTGGAACCTGGTGCTGTTTTGTCTTTCAAGGTATGTGTCTGCACCCCAACTATATCCCCTTTTGAATTGCTAAATACCTTCTTCCAATGTTCCTAGGTCTGCTAAGTCACATCTAAATTTTTTGAACTATAATTAATTGGATTTGTAAAATTATCTTTAATATCATTTCTCAACAGAAGTCAAAGGTTTAGCGTTTTGTATGATTTTGGAATGGTAAGTGCAATTTGCACTAGAGATGCAGTCTAACTGTCTAACAGACGCTCACTGGATATTTAACCAATGAGAAATTTATACCATTGGGCCTGTGGTTGAGCTTAAATTTTGCAAGATAATTACATTCATTTGCACGCTAGACCTGCACTTATTTATCTTGGTCACATGGAATGTAGTTATGCATACTTTTGTATCTCTCCTCAAAACACCCTTTTGTTGGAGATATATATGAATATTTCTGATCCTGGTTTGCCATGCTTCTTGAAACTTTCTACACCTTCAAGTAAGAATAGTAAATGAATGATTGTATATATATATTGTTTTGAAAAGTGATAAATATTTCATTAACGAGCACACAAGAGGGACCCAAATGCAAAAGTCACAACGACTGAACAAGGCCCACTAAACTATCAACATATCCACTTATCGTTAAGTGATTTACAATTCCATCCCTATACCCAAAAAAATAAGGAACTAAGAATAGAGAACTTAGGAACCCATATGAGAACCTCCTTAGCCTTGAAAGACCGCCTATTCTGCTCCCGTCATAAACCCCACCAAATACAAAGAGGCGCCACCTGCCGAGCATCTCGGACTTGCCTCCTCACTATACTAGCCTTCCAAACCTCGAGCAAACTATTCGGGGACTCCGACATAACCCAATGGACACCAAAGAGAGTGAAAATCAAAGCCCAGCTATCCTTGGCCACTGGGCAGTTAGGGAGGAGGTGGTTCACTGATTCCTCACCCCTCTTTCACAAACAACCAATTGATATGGACACCAAAGAGAGTGGAAATCAAAGCCCAGCCATACTTGGCCACTGGACAGTGAGGGAGAAGGTGGTTCACTGATTCCTCACACCTCTTACACATACAACCAGTTGACGATAATCTGCTGCCGTCTTCTCAGATTATCGATTATCAAGATCCTCCCCAATACTACTGTTATACTGAAAAAAGCCACCTGATGAATGGAGTTAACATTCAAGTGCATGTGTATAATAACAGAGGTAATTTTCTAATAGACCTCTTAACTTGACAATTGCACCAACAATTCTGGTGTTGAACTTATGTGTCCTATTATGAAAACATTGGGAGAGAGAGGATAAAAAACAGATATTGAAAGTGTTTATTTGAAAATCATATGTTTTTATGCCTGGAAGATTGGTCAAGAAATATGAATTGTCATACGGTAGTTTATTTAGTTCTTTTATAAAAATGACCTTCTGAAATTTATTCTTCTTTTTGGCTATAAATTGTTTGAGTATTTTCACAGTTTGATTAATTCAAGATGTATAGTTCAACATTTTGTTACTTTTTGTTACCTTAGTTTCATAAGGTGTCTTATATCGTGCTCTCCAGGTATTAATTGGACAACAATTCGTTGTTCCTGCTTACTCGAAGGTATCTTTACTTCAAGAACCAACCAAGCAAGATAGTGATGAGGAGCTGGAATATGCTGACAGTAGCAGTGGGATCGTAGAAATTCCATGTAACTGTTCCTCGACGATTTCTTTGACTCACCCTTTTGTTCTTTTGTTCATTTTTAAAGAAAATTTATATTTTGAAATTAGAAAACCTCAATTTTACTTACTGTAACTCTTGAATTTATCATCTTTTTTGCAAGGCTTTTTCAGTTCATCCTTCTAAACGATTTTGTAGATGATAAAACAGCAAAATCCTTAAGAAAAGCTGTGGCTTGTATAGATTATAGTTAGAAATTTCATCAAGATAGGCACATCAAATTCATGCCGGCTGATTTGGAAGAATGAGGGCTAGCGTTTCTGTGACTTGGATTAAGGATGATTTGGAAATGATGGAATGGATATTGGAGGCAACTGTGGTTTAGATGGGCTATTTAGTCATTTAAATTGATAGATAGCAGGCAATCTTTGTTGTGGAGAATTGAGGAGGATATACAACAAAAACCAAGCATTTTCCCAACATTTAGGAGAATATAGTGAAGAAGAAATATAGATGAAATTTGAAAATTAATGAATATTTTACATTATACAGATTGACTGAAGATCAGTGAAACAATTTGTAGGAAATTGCTCAAACTAGATAAGAAAGTTTGGGGTATTCATGGAAAATTTGATATATTTTATCACCTAATTCTAGTGTTCCTTAATTGGTGCATATTTTCTACTCTATTTTACATGGTGATTGAAATCCCCAATCAATCATGGTGGAAATAGTTGACTTTTTGGACTCTCTGAGTGTTTAGAAGCCCTATTTGGCCTTGTGTAGCTTCCAAAGGATGCGTTCCTCTTTTGAATGCCTTTTTAATACAACCTAACTTTGCGTCTGCATATATTCATATATATACCCACGATTCACAAAACATAATTCATTCATATATATGCACAAAAGTGATCAACTAATTGAAATTCATTTTAATTTAGTCATGTTCTAATCAACAAATTGTAATATAATTTGTAAAAATCCCTAATTTATGCACATCATCAACAAATTGATAGTCAAATTGGTTTGATTGAATAAAATTGATTACTTACATATATTAATAATTTATTTTAACAAATTTAAATTAAGACACTTTAATTCAATCCCATGTTAAGAATAGGAACATCTTCTTACCTTTGATTTTCCATAAAAGTTCCTCTAGGTTGCTCATCCCTTCTTTGGTCACTCTCACCCCCCCTTCCAATTTGCAAGACAACTCGGAGGGCATTATATGATGTTAGAGTTGGAGAAGAATTAATCTTGGTCCTTAATTTTAAACTTAGACCTCGATTGTTTTTTATTTTGTTTAACCATATGAGTGGTGTTCATTACTTGTCTCCTTATTGTTTGGTTAGTAACTAGATTTTTATTATTTACTATATGGTAGTGTGATTTTGTTTGTCGTAAGAGTTAAAGATCTAATGATCAATAGATTAATTATGTAAAATTAAATTAGTACTCAAGAGTTCCAAAATTTCTCATGACATTGAACATTGAAGTGTTGAACTTATTATATTATTAACCTTGTGGAGTTCAATTAATGATTAAGTCTATATAACATAAAAATAAATAAATATATATGAATCATAACCATCATTATCCTTCCTTTAATCCCATATAAATGACGTCTGCAACATGAATTTTCTTTTTTCATTTTCTATTACATAAGACATCTCTCCTACATTACTAGAATTTTTTTTGGTTCCGTTTCCGTCTCTTACCCCCTTTACAAATTAGTGCATCAACTATATGTCTATACCACCCAAGTTTACTTTCTCTTTTTTAATCACCAGCAATTGCCACCCTCAATTTCTCTCTCACACTTGATTAATAACCCTATTTCTACTAGTCACTCCTGCCATCCATCTTAACATCGTCATTTCAGTTACATTAATTTGTTGTTCTTCTTGCCTTTTTAAAACCGAACATTTTGCTCCATGTAAAATAGTTGGTCTAATAATTGTGTTATAAAATTTCTCTTTTAATTTAATTTTTATTATCGCATAAAATTCCACTAATTATTTAACTACCTCACCATTCTTTTTTATTATTGATTCTAAATACTGAAAATGGTTGTTTTGGTTAACCCTTTGGTTTTCAACTACGATCTATAACAACCCTCACCCTAGCCTGACACAATATTGTCTACTTTTGGCTCCCCCAGACCAAAGACTTCCCAGGAAGTCACCCATCCTGGTACTACTCCAGGTTAAGCACGCTTATCTTTGAACTTTTGAAAGGTTCACAACCATCACGGCTTTAAAATGCGTTGTGTCATAGAAGGGTGTTGAACCTACATATAGCACTTTCTCGTCCAGTGTCTCGCACCCGCCCACATTACACCCGCCCACAGAGGTCGTCACATGACCATTATATTATCAATATCTGATTTTTTATATTTACATTCCGTATATTCAGTTTTAGTTCTATTAATTTAATAATCTTTTATTCTAATGCATTTCTCCGCATTTCTACATCATCGACAAATTCTACTATTATAGAAAAATCACTAGTCTCACCACATATAGTGGAAACTTTAGTTTTGTATTTAAATTGAACTCTTGAATAATATATTTCATTTATGTAGGAATTTATTTTCTTTGTAAAGCTCACCAAATAGTATCTTTTGGTACCCTATCATATTATTTTTATAAAAGTTTAGGAAACTCATATGTACATCTTTTTGCTTACTCCTACACTTTTTAACTATTTGTCTTATTAAGTGAAAACCATTCCATTATTCTTATTGAGTAAACCAATAAATGTATAAAGAAACAAGAAAAAAAGAAGAGAAAATGCATATATTTTCAAATGATCCACTAAAACTTCAAAAATAGATCTTAAAAATAAAAATAAAAAAAAAGAAAGAAAGGAAAGAAAGAAAATAGTTATATATATAATAACCTACCTCTGGATGGAGAACTGGAATTGCATTTGTTGATTAGAACAGATTCACCGACTATTTCTCATAATCTTATTATATCAAATTTAGGTAAGATCTAACCCAAGTGCAGTAAAAAAGGAAAGAAAAAATAAGTGAAACTTACAAATGGAATGGAGTTTGGCCAAGCTCTTGATTCAAGTATTTTTTTTTTTTTTTTTTGATAAGTAAGCTCTTGAGTCTTGATTCAAGTATTAAGCTTGGATGTTGTGTAACCTAAGTTTTGGACATTAGGTCTAGGGTATCGTGGTGTATCTTTGGAGGGTGGGACTTGAAATTGTGGAAATTTTGGAAACGTATCATGCATAAAGCTTGTAAAGCTCACATTTTAATACTGCTGTCAAATTGTTGATACAGCCATGACTGCGTTGTAACGGTTATTACGGCTGTGAAATATAATAGGATCGATAGATTGGCTTGTAAATGTTGCCTCCAGGGAAAACATTATTGCTGTTATTTTAAACAGTGTGTGGCGTTCAACTATTTTAACAAATTATGATTAAATCAAATACTGGGCATTGTAGATATTTTATAGTTATTTAACTTTTGCTCTTGCGGCCAACTTTTTGCTTCATACGGTTATTCTTTTAAGATATTTTGCTGGAGTTAGAAATTCCTTTACCAAAGATTCTTTTGTACATGTTCTATTGGGCTATTAAGTTTTATGTTGGTTAGAGATGGAGTAGATTTGTAAGAAAATGCTTTTGTATACCAACTGAAAAAAAAGGTGGTTCTGTCTTCTAGTTTTTGATTTATGTATACTAATAAACATTTTTTTTAAGAAATTTGATGTATGATGATCTCTTATGATGAATACCCTGCTCCATGCTTGTCTTTATTTTAGTTACTACCCAAACCGTTGTCCTTTTTAGTATGAGTAACTTTTCTTTTGGAAGTTAAATATGATGCATTCGCTGGAAATGGGTAATGGGATATAATTTACTTTTAAAATGCATCAAATTTATATTCTTAAAAACATCTAGATATCATATACATATGTGCAGCTATCCTGACAATGATCATAGAAAGAAACATGCTGTTAAGACTATTGGTTTTCCGTCACAGCTAACTAGATGTGGATGGAACTTTTCAGCTTCATCCTTTGTATCGATGTCCATGATTCAGCGTGTCTAGACTAAATAATCTTTGAGACTTTTGCTTTATTGTAAAGTGTGCATATATGCATGTGTGCTTGTACTGTTTACTTATTGGTCCATTCACTGATGGATATTTGGGCTTTCTGTTTTGTGATATACTCTTGACATAAGCTGTTTGATATGCAGCAAGCAGTAGTATGTCAGACAAGTTGAATGGAGAAGTAACCTCCAAATTATCAGAGGTTAGCTTTTAGATTTGTTTTTTTAACGGTTTGCTTTACATCTTTTTCTTTCTTTCTTTTTTCCCCTCTTTATTTTTATTTTTTTATTTTTGGTATGGGGGCGGGGGGTTAGAAGTAGATGTGAAATGGATGCTTGTTTTATTGATTCTTTGACTAATTGAAAGATAAAATCTAGTGTGCATGGATTCATAGGATTTAGAGGGGGACTGGATAGCTCTCTATGGTTTATTTTTTCCGATTAACACTGAATTAGTAATTTGATTGCTTGCAACACAACTATGGAAATTTTATGTTTTGATTGCATGGATTTCCTTTAAAATTTCATAGGAGGCCATTAACCAGCAGATGGTGTCCCACCTTGGCAGGGTGCTGGAAGTGAGTGACCTGATCTTTGGTATTATTTTTGCATAAAGTGGCTGTTCTCAAACTCCAACTCGTTTGATCAGGCTTGTCAGCTGAACTCTTACCTTGCATCAAGCGATGGTGCCTAACTATTAATAGTTCATGTAATCAAAACAAGTTCACTAACAAATACAATTAGAGACGAGCACAATTTTTACATGGAAAACCCAAAAGGTAAAAATAAGGGAAGCGCAGAATTTTTACATGGAAAACCCAAAAGGTAAAAATAAGGGAAGCTTGTCCAAAGCTATCAAATGCATTATGATTATTCAAGATTATGTGTAAAATAATGCACAGAATTACTCCATACCGACTCGAAGCAGAAATCATCAGCCGTTTCAAAAGATGCATCCTTGACTACCCATGAATTAACCTTTCAATCCGCTATCTCATAGCCACAATTTGAAAAACCCTTTGAATCATAAAAATTCTGTTGAAGGATTTATATATTTAAGTTACACCCTCTCTAACAGCTTAAGCTTTTGGAGTAAATGGTTGTTAACTAGTATTAGAGCCAGGTCCCAAAGAACCGCATGTGGACTCGAGATCCCTAGCTGGTTGGAAGACGCTAAGACCGGTGATGTTCTATCCACCGGGGTGAGCCTCGTTCAAGGGGGGATTGTTGGGTAGTTGAACGAGTCCCACCTCGGTTAGTAAAGAAGGAAATCCGGGACTTATATGGGGCAAGGGTCACTGCGCCTAGTAGGTTAACGTTTTGGGTTGGATTCCCACAAGCCCAACAACAAAAGAGCCAAAGGTCTTTTGTTGTGTTCTTATTATTTTACTTATGGACAAACGTGATTCAGCATATAAATGTAAAAATAGTTTAGATCAAATTACGAAGCAAAGAAGTTTAATCAAAGTAAGAAATAATGTGTATGCTGAACAGAGGTCAATGCTATAGATCGATCCAGCTGAAAAGTTGAACACCTAGCACGTACTGGTTAAACTTGGTCCTGTCCAACTCTGATTTCAATTGGTAGAGCACTTAGTCAGTCACCCTGTGCTGGTCTACCTCTTAGCTTGATAGGTTTAAGGTTGACTTGGATGGATCAATCTAGCATAAGGCTTGTTGACCATATCCTTTCTTCAACAAGCTTCCTAATTAATTTCCAAACGTGTTCCTCCAATTACCAAGGGTCAAATAAAGGATTTTTAGGCCAACTAAATTAGCAATAATTACTACAGCGAAGTCACTAATTGATCCTAAAAGTGTCTACTAAAGTAGCTTGAAGAAATTTCTCGTAGGACCTTGTCTTCGATTTGGAATTACATTGCAATAATAAACAGCTCCATGAATTAGATTAGCTCTAAAAACATAACCTGAGTTTTGTTCATGGAATATGCTAGCACCAATGCATGTGTTGAAGAACATTTTCCTTTGGCAATTCTTTTACAATACCTTTACATGAGACACAATCTGACCGAACTTAAAACATGTTATTATTTTACAGGCTAAAGATTCAAAAATAAAAATAGATAATTGTTGATCCCATAGACGCTATATGGTGAAAATCATATTGACAAATTTGTGGATGCACATACATGACTTGCAAATCGTGAAAGATGACTTAGTGTGGTAAAGTCCGATTGACATGACTACAGACTATAATTATGAAAATAACAAGGAGTACACAAATGTCAAGAGCTCTAAAACTCCCCCTTTTCTACTCAAGTCTACACTCCTTTTTTTTTTTTTTTTCCTCATGAATTGCCATGTGATTTGGTGAAAAATTCACCCTATTGACTTATGAGCATTTTTCATGTCTTCCTGCATGCACGAATACACAATTACAAACTTGAGTCCATTTTTATACGAATGTACCCTTGATAGCTAATTTGTTGCCAATGCATGGTCTAATAAATAGAAAGTAACTTGGAGTATGAAACTTCAATTCATGTTTGAATTTGAACTTTGCCTTCAAAGTTATACTATAATTTGCATTATCACCAGGGAAAATTGAACACTAATATATAGTATATATGTAATTGCATGCGAGTGCATAAGCAGAAGATATGTACCTACCCAAAAAAAAGGGGGGGAAAAAAAAAGAATTATCATTCATGTAAATTTCTCTACTAGAAACACAATATTATTTATGGTGATCTTTTGTAATTATTATTCCAACAATTTCCTCTCTTCGTTCATAATAGGAAGTCCTTTTACCATTCCAGATTTAATTTTGATGATACCACTGGTTGCATATCTATATGTTCACTGACCTGTTACTATAATTTATCAGGTTGGCACTGGTGGGGCAGGTTACATTTGGTCACTTGGTGAAGGAGTTCATGAAGAGGAATGGAGACATTCAGTTGCCCCAATACCTGCAGATAAACTTTCTGAGATTACACAAGCTTTGAATGATGACCTGGAAATATCAACTCAAGATGGCAATCTTCTCCCTCCATCTGGAGAGTTGAGAACGGACTCTATCAGTAATGATACTGATGATTCTGATGTTGATACTAGAAATGACTCTGTCTACTTTGAGAAAGAGGTATGCTTTTACTGGGATCCTAATGATAAATGCACATTGTTTGAATCTAACCTTCATTCTTCACTTTTGTTTGCAGGTTGAATCAACTTTTCTAAGGGCTGTTCATGAAAATATTGAAGAAGCGAATGTAATTTTGGAAGTGAGCTCACTGCGGTATGTCATATTTGATCTTCCTCCTTACTAATCTGGGTTACTGTATGCCGTAGCTTGTTTACTCGTATTGGAAAAAGAAAGAGGGCAGTTTTTCATTCATAAATGCAATGTTTTGGGCTATATTGATAGTATTAGAGACTAGAGACCAAGATCTTGGCATATGGGAAGCAACGAAGTCACATTTCTTGTGGGTGAAATATGTCTAAAAAGCGCTAATGCTCTGTTTTGGATTGGCTACAAGGATCAACGCTTTTAAGTAAATTTTTTTTTTATGTCTAATGATAACTAGACCGTTAAAGGTAAAGCTACTTTGGAAAGAACAAGAAGGGGGAAGATTGGAAGAAAAAGGAAAAAGAAAATACGATTGGATCATTCGTCTCAACTAAATTTAGCAAAGACCAGTATCCGAACTACTTGGCATTTGATTACATTAAATCTCTCTCACTATTTAATTCCATCTTTGGCCGTCTTTTGTTATATCTTGAGCTATAACGTCTCTCTTGGCCTTAATACATTTTTTCGTTGGCCTTTCTACTGTACTTCTAATTTGGTTTGAATCAAATTCTTTATCCTATTTGGTGCTTCTGCTGGTGTTTGTTGCACCAAATCAAACTATTTTGTACAACACTTTCTTTCACTGTCCTCATTTTTAAGAAGTAAAATGTACACCTTTGATCAAGTATGAGCTATGAAGTAGCTTCCGGTATCTAATTGCTTATTACAATTTTTTGCAACACTTGTTTGGACTTTGTTATATAATGCTTCAGTTTGTATTATGTTCGGATTTGGTACTTAATCTTTTTTATCATTTCTTGTCCCTTTCGTGCTTCAGGTTGTCATACAATCTGACTTCTGCAGACTGTGCTGGGGCATTATTTTATTCAATGATTAAGCTAGCATTAGATGCGCCTCATAATTCGCCTAGTAAGTTCTCTTATGTTAATCAAATTATTTCTTCTCGTTTTCTGTATATTATTTGAGCTACATCATCTTCTTGTGTTGTAATTTGTCTAACATGTCTTGCACTATGAATGCGCTGATTTTTTTTTTTGAACTCTGACATACATGTCCAAATGTGGTTAGTTTGTTCACTAAATGATGAATAAGCTATTATATGTTGTCTTATAGAACATTTCAGCCCCTCAATAGAAGACCTGAATGGAGTAGTACGGAACACATTATACTTTTTTTGATAAGTAAAGATTGTATAAAAAGCGTTCAATAGGGTAACACACCCCTCAAAAGCTGCACAAGGCCAAATAGGGCCTCTAAACCCTCAAACACTCCAAAAAATCTACAAGCTCCTCCACGGATTTACAGTTTCTCCCTGGAACCCAACAAAAAAGAGTATTAATAATGGAGAACTTCAATGTCCCAATAGGATTCTCCTTTCCTTCGAAGGATCTTCTATTTCTTTCAAGCCAAACACACCACCAGACACATAAAGGTGTAACCCTCCAGAAATCACGAACTTGGGCCCCCACTATACAACCTCTCCAAACCTCAACCAAGTCTTTGGAAGATCTGGGCATAATCCACTGAACCCCAAACAAACCCAACATCAAAATCCAGCAATCCCGAGCCACAAGACACTGCAAAAAAAGATGATCAACAGTTTCCTCGTCATTCTTACACATGTAACACCAATTGACCAGATTCTATTTTTTGTCCATGATCTTAAAGCTAAATGCAATGGTGATATCATGTCAGAATTGCTAAAGCTAAAAAAACCCTGTTACTTTATTGTCCTACTGTTGATGAATGGTCACCTCAGAAGCCTTGACTTTGTATCTGTCAATTTGATTACTGACATCAATTATGTGTTGTTCCCTAGTGTCCTCAACAATATGTTTATGGTTATCTTCATGTTACTTTGGTATGCTGTGTAAATGTACCGTGTGTTCCGGATTGGGTTATTGCAGTTGCAATGTTCGTTATTGAAAATGCTGCTGTAACTGTCTTCCTTATCAAATAGTGCTCTGAGCTTTGTCTTTTTTAATTATATTTCGGTGTAGTTATTTGGAACAATTGCATTTTTTGTGGTACAAGATCTTTTTTTCTTTCTTTTTTGTTTTGTTTTGTTTTTTTTTTTTTTTTTTTTAAATAAAAAAAATACATTGTAACTAGCATGAATAAAGATCATTTTTCTTCATGCATTCAAATTATGTTAAAACATATTTAACATGTTATGCATGGTTACTTAGAGACAGATGAAATGCAATTTTAGTTCTTTCTCTTTGGTGTGATTCAGGGTTAACCAACTATATCCTCTTATAGATCATTACTTATGGTTTCTTTTTTCGCCGCCTCAACCCTAGTTTTTTTTTTTTGCCTTCATCTTTCATTGTAGCACTTGTTATATAACCAGATCTCTCCTCCTTGACCTAGCTTAGGATTTTCTTTGGTAGTTTATAGCTTACTTTCTATCTGTGGAAACAAAGGTTTTAACCCAAGTTTCTATTTTAAGCACTTAATTTTAAGTATTTTTTCTCCACATGGTATTTTAGTACTTAATTTTAAGTATTTTTTCCCCACGTGATATTTTAAGTACTATTTATGACATCTATAGTGGATAACATACTGATTAATTTTGTTTTGTGATTCGGGGAGGATCCAGGTCATCACTTTAGTGAAATGCTTGAAACATTAGTTGTTTGAGTAGATTACAGCTCATTACTATACTTGGTGCTAAGACACCATATGTCTAAGAAATATAAATATTGTATTTTTTCGTTACTTCATTGAGCTTATGGGCTTTTGTACATTTTCCTTTATAATTTGTCCCACTAATTGTGGAGACTTTGAGATCATTTTGAGAAATTAGGGCCTGCTGTCCGGATATTCTTCTCTTACCTTCTTGCTCTTCTATTTCTTCTCCTTTGAGAAATCTAAAGGACAGTTATCCAATGCATCTGGTTAATTAGACTCGGGGGCATGAAATGTGAATAGGTCATATGGGTATTATTTTGCAACCAACTTTTTAAATTATCGTTAAAATTCAATTAATTAGATTGAAATGTGTCTAAAAAACATTCACACAAGCACATAAGGGAAAACTACAGGTCCTCGTCCAACCATGAGCAGTCCCTCCCGACTCAGACTTATGCAATATCACCCCAGATGCTTATGCCGCTGATTCTTTGACATACTAATTCCTTTTGCAAGCTGCTTCTTAATGTTTTCATTCCTTCTCCTAGCTTTCCTCAATTGATTTGCTCTTTTCAGATCCACTCTTACTTGCATCTTGCTTTAAACACTCAATGACGCATGATCAGTAGTCAATGAGAAACCCTAGATTGAGAAATAAGACTCTCACTCTTTAAAGATATATATATATTCTCTCACTAGAATATAGAGCTCAAACCTCACAGTCAAGAACTAAGGGAACATGATCAGATGTCACCCTTGCGAGGGTTGCCTGAGTATCATCCGGAAAATTTTCTTCCCACTCCCCAGAAATCAGGAATCTATCCACTCTTGAGAAATAACCGGATCCCTTCCATTAGACCAAGTAAAGGCAACCCCTTCCATTGGCAAATCAATAAGAAAATTACTATCAATAAATTCTGAGAACAGGGTCACTTCCGAAGACCACCTGCCCCTTGTGGACCTCTCAAACGGAGACCTAACAGAATTGAAATCCCCACCCAAACACCAAGGCAATAACCACAGTTCCTTAACGTGGCAAAGCTCTTCCCATAAGGTAGGTCTTTCATTGTCAATAACTGGCTCGTAAACCCCAGAAAAAACCCATCTGAAATTGTCTTCCTCCATCTTGAACATGCACGACAAAGAATAAAATCCTTTCCATGCGTTCATCCTTGACAACCACCTACGGTCCCACATAACAAGGATTCCACCAAAGGTGCTTGAGGCGTTTAACGCTTCCCATTCCACAAATCTTCCTCCCCATAAACTTCTAACCGCCTCGTCAGAAATAGAGGCCAACTTAGTTTCCTGCAAACAAACAACATGGGCACTCCACTTCCTCACAGCTCCCTTAACCACCCTCCCCAGATCATTTGGACCGCGAACGTTCCACGTAATAATTCGTAGCTTCATTGAGAACCAAAAACAATCATGTCCCCTCCTCCCCACTTCCCACTTCGGGTTCTTCCCCTTTCCTTTACCACCCCATCCTTCCTCTCATAGTTGACATAAGAAATGAGGTTTTTGACCTCCTGCTCCCTTTTCCAAGACGTTTAAGGTCTCCTTTTGACCTCTTTTGTGCCCTGGATACTCTCTGCAGCTTCTCCCCCTCCAACAATTGCATGAAGAATGGACAAGGCCTGATCATCATTGCCTTCTGAAGAGACACCCAATGCTTCACTAATAACACCAATATTCTCCACCACCCAATCCTTGCCCAAATCATTAGTTGTCACAACACTGTTGGGTCGCATTACTGCCAGAGGTTCCACCATTCCCACATCAGATTGGTCTGTCTCCATCCATGGGGAACCATCATTGGAACAATCCTGCTGAAAGAAGGCCCACTCTTCATACTCCTCCCCCTCACTCTCCTTACCATTAACATACGTATCCATCTGTAAGTCCGCATTAGTCATAGAATCATCCGGGTCAAGTGTCATCAAACTGTGAGTATCGTTTGTCTCTGACCCTTCGGATGATGAACAATTTAGACCTTTCAAGGCTAAAAAAAGTCGAAGCTCCTTAAGCAGAGCCACGGCTGAATCATCTGTCAGTTTAAAGTGTAAATCTCGTCCCAAACAAACTGTCACTCCTTCAGAGCAACCTGCACTTCCAGACTTTTCCTTTCCATCCATAATCACTGACCCATCAAACTGTGGAACAATGGCCCCAAACCCATCCCTCTGATGAACACAAACATCCTTCTCACAACTGTTGCTTCTCAACACCCCAAGAGGAAGAAGAAGGAGAAAGGGAGCTCCGAGGTTGAATGGCAGAGGACGTACTTGCGCTAATGAGATGATGAGATTGTGCTATCCACTTCTGCTTGTCTTTGCGTGACCAACGAGAACCATGGTGAGATGACTGGAATCTCTGGCTTGAAGATCCAGAGCACTCGTTCGACGGGACACAAAAGGAGCCAGTGCAACAACACTTTTCATGACTGGACATCGTTTCTTTCCCATTTAATCCAGCCTCGTATCCACTCAACTTTCTCCACCTTGTTTTCTCAGACGAGGACCAAGGTCATTCGTGTGTGTATCACAGTCTAAAGCAAACTTGGCACGGCCCTGAGTCTGGGCTTGAACCTGGGCCCGGGCTGATCTTCCATGTCGTGGCCCCATCAAAACATTTGGGGTGCACGTATCATTTGATAATGAGATTTTCAAAGAGCTATTGGGCCCTCTCTGGACCCTTCTTTTAATCCCTTAAGGAACCTGAAGCCCAGCCCGAATTGAAGTTCCAGTAGGTTTGGGCCTAATAAGCTCACTGTTCAAAACAGGCCCGTTATGACCATAACCCATCTTGTAACCTGCTTGTCCACGTGTGTGGACATCAATAAAACGCGTGGGCTTACTTTGTGTGTTTCCCTTGACCCCTCTCACAGACGGCGCGTTAAAGCGCACACGTCTCTTTCCTTGAGGGCCAAAAGTGATCTGAAACTCCGGCCGGGTACAAGAAGGACAATGCCTTCCAGTTCTCAGCTCCTCGCGTCCGTTCTGAGATATGGGTCTAACATAGGGATCGATGGAAACTTTCGGAATAATGGAAGGTGAAAATTCCTCCCTCAAATCAACTTTGAATGCCACTCTGTGATCTTCAACGAAAACAATGTGTGGGATCAATCCTCCATCAGCGACAACAAGAACAATTCTCTCCCCTTCCACCATATCCTCCTCCTCCACTTCTCGAAAACCACCACAAAGGTTCCCTCTTGCTTCAAATAGCAATTGACATCGAAGATGAAGGGGTAATCCATACATCACCACTCGTTGTCCCCTTCCTCGTGGTCTCACTGCCGAGCACCCAACTGCGAAATACCATACATCAATGGACAAAGAAGCAGCGCCCCAATTCTTCTTTCCATACCGGAGAACTCGTTGTGCCTCTTTTTCCGACGGTAATCTTAACGATAGCAAACGGTCAGGCAAGGTAGAGACCTTTACTCGGCTCCCGATCTTCCATGTCTGCATCGCCCACCTCTCGATCAAGTTTAGATTTCCCACATCCCTATCAAATCGTCCAACAAGGCACGATTTTAGGGTTGATTCTCTGCTGGCCGTACTAAGATGATCACCGTGAAGGTCCTACCATCTGCCGTTGGGAAACTTTCTACCTCGCCATTGAGAGAGAGACATGGGAGATTCGCAACTTCGAGAAACGATCTTTCCATGTACTTCAGTCCATGATCACATCAGAAAAAACCAAGAACCCTATTTGCCAAAAAATCATCTTTTACAGAGAGAAAAAAGGGTAAAAAAAAAAGTTGTTGAAAATTGTAAACTTTGTATTGCTGCTAGCTTTGTGTTGTTGGCTGCAAATGTAATATATTTTTCAACTTGCACCTCACTTCTCACTTCAGTTAGGCCCTCGCCTCGCCTTGCACCTTGCGCCTCAGGCTCCTAGAGACCTTGGCGCCTTAGTGCGCCTTGAGCCTTTAACAACTATGAAGTACAATTTCTCCCCGTCAGTCAACTGAAAAGAGAACTAATAATATGAAGTTTCAAAACCACAATGGATGATTTCTTCCCTTCAAAAGGTCTATTATTCCGTTCCTTTCAAATGTGCACCACCACACGCAATGGGGAATCGTTCTCCAAAAATCCCGAGCATGGGCCCCACCCACAGAACAACTTGTCCAAGCGTTAATCAAACCCCTTGAAGACCGAGGCATAACCCAATGGATTCCAAAAAGGCCAAAGATAAGATTCTAACCGTTGTGAGCTACAAGACAATGTAAAAGTAGGTGATCCATTGACTCTTCGTCCCTTTTGCATAAACAACACCAATTAATAGTAATGTGTCTTCTCTTCCTTGGATTATCCAAAGTCAAAATCTTACCCCAAGCAATAGTCCAGACAAAGAAAGCCACTCTGAGAGGAGCCTTAGAGCACCAAATTGTCTTCCAAGTGAATTCAGAACCAACAAAATTGGAGAGGCACGAGAACATGGACCGGACCTCAAACCTTCCCTGAGTAGAGGGCACCCAAAGCAAAACGTCATTACCTCTGCCATCTGCCTCCTGATGATACAAAATATCCAAAAGGCAACAGACCTCGTCCACCTCCCAGTCCTGAAAAGAACTTCGAAACCGCACATCCCACGAAAGCCTACCGCTATTGAGCCTGTAACAGTCAGCCACATGGGCACGTCTATTAACAACAATCCTATAGAGTCTGGGAAAAGAACAAGACAATGGGCGATCACCACACCATAAATCCTCCCAAAACCGAACCCCTCTACCAACCCGCACTTTGAATCTAATATGTTTAGAGAATTCGTCCTAGCCCTTTCGAATAAATTTTCACACACCTATACCCCCAGCATTAAAGACTGGACTAGAAGATAACCCTCCTCCAAGGACGATGTTGTTCACTACCAAATCTTCACAACCACTTACCAAGGAGAGCTCTGTTAAAGGGAACCAACCTCCTAATGCCAAGGCCGCAAAACTGAATAGGCCTGCAAATTTGCTCCCAGCAGACAAGATGATACTTGGAACTCCTCGCCTCGACCACCCCAAAGGAAATTCCGTTGAATCATCTTAATCCTTTCAGCAACAGAAGACGGAATCTGGACGAGATATAAAAAGTATGTAGGAAGATTGGACAACGTAGTCTTCATGAGAGTAACCTTTCCCCCCTTCAACAGATATTGATTCTTCCAGCTAGTCTCTTCTCGAACCTCTTAATCACAGGATCCCAATTTCCCACGGTCCTCGACGAAGTCCCCGAGGGCAAACCCAGATAGGGAATAGGAAAAGAGCTCACCCCACCCCCAAGAACCGCAACACGAGAAACAATGTCCTGAACTTCCCCAACAGGGACAAGCATAGTCTTTCCCACATTAACTTTCAGACCAGAAACTGCCTGAAAACACACCTCAAATATCTCAACTGAGACATATCAGCATCACAAAAGACCAAAGTGTCATCCACAAATAAGAAATGTGAGATCTCCATCTCATGAGTGGAATCTCTACCCACCCTGAATCCCATAATAAAACCCAAGTCCTCTGCTCTCCTCATTAAGTTACTCAGGGCCTCCATAACTATGAGAATGAGAAACGACGAACGAGGATCCCCTTGTCTCAATCCTCGTGAGCTACCAAAAAAGCCGGCAGGAGACCCGTTCACCATAATGGAAAATTTGACAAAAGAGATACAAGTCTCAATCCACCTCTCTCTCAAGCATATATAGCACGAAGCCCGAACTAACATGATCATAAGCTTTCTCAATATCAAGTTTGCACTAAATTCCAGGGACACCACTCCTTAGTCTGGAATCAACACACTCGTTGGCTGGAAGAGCATTTTGGGACTCTGAAATAACCCCATCCAAAACCTCCCTCAACCTCAGAGCAAGAACTTTGGCAATAAGCTTATAAATGCAACCCAACAAGTTTATTGGCCTAAAATCCTTTACATCGGAAGCACCACCCTTCTTAGGAATGAGGGCGGTAAAAGATGCATTCAACGACTTCTCGAACCGACCATGAGAGTGGAACTCGTGAAATGTACCCATCACCTCACTCCTAACCACTTCCCAGCTTTCCAACAAAACCGCATAGTGAACCCATCCGGACCCGTAGCTTTGTCACCATTACAACTCTTGAGCGCCTTTACCACTTCCTCTTCGGTAAAAGAAATCTCGAATCGATCCCTTTCCATCTCTGAAATTGCGTTGAACCCCCAAGCCTAGGTCTCCACCCCAAAGGCTCAGAGTAAAGCCTCTGATAAAAAGAAACCCAGTCTAGTCTTCTTAGGATGTTCAACTATTTGAAGTTAGTTCTCTTCCCCTTGCTCTGCATCACTCTTTCTTATTATTTTGAGTTTTTTCTTTTATTCTGTTTAATTGTTTGCTGTTATATGTGGATTTCCGGTCGCTTGCTCACGACGTAATTTCAGATATAATACATGAAATAATAAGATTACTGATGGCCACCTCCATAGCATTGTTTGCTTTTTTTTTTTTTTCCCTCAAATTCAGTGCATCCCTTATTGGCCATTGACTTTGAATGAATTTGATGCATCATGCATTTTCACTAAAGTTTTATTTCACAAGGTTTAGTTGGATGTACCAATTTTTTTGGTGGAAGTAACAGTTATCCTAAAAATTGGGTCTTCTCTTCAAAACCATGAGGGTGCTGTGTTATACACTTCGGGCTGCCTTGGCAGACTGGGGAAAGGAGAAGGTGCGCAAGTGGACATGAATGGAAGGGTGCAAATTGTATTTTTATTTTACTGCATTGCATATTGTCATTTGTACCATTGTTATTTTATTTGTTTGGTTTGGAGGCTCCTGCAAAATAGTTATAGGTCATTGTTGTACTCATCTTACTACCTGATATCTCATTTACACAATTGTTATTTATGCTTTCTTGCAGGTGAGCTGTGTAGAAACGCTGCCAATGTAATTACCAAGTATCAAAGTATTTTAAAGTATTACCTTACAGGCCTAGATGAGGAGGTGGGTCTCTTGACAGTGTGTTGCTTGTTTGTAGTCATATATCTGGTCATTTAAAAATAAAAAAAATTTGAAAGCAATATATATATTTTTGTTTCAACTAGGGAATTTGTAAGCAGCCCCTTCCCTTCTAAGTTTGTTTTAGGCACCTTTCTCCTTTTGTTTTTTTACATGCTCGTCTGTTTAACAGTGTAAAAGCCTTTTGGTAAAAAACCTGGTTCAAAGTTCTATGATTAGTTTACTTTCTTAATTCAGTCATGATATTGTCAAGCATCATATCTTTAGGCAAAACGAGAAGAGTTTTACCACATTACATGTGCTATTCTATTTCATGCTTTGCATACATCAAAATGCTTAAAATGTCTTGAATTTTGATCTTTTATAGTTTATCTGTTTATAAATGTATCAAATGCAAGTTATTTATTTTCCAGGATTCTTTGCCAAATATACTTGTATCACTGAATTTGTTGTTGTTGTTTTTTTTTTCCCCTTGGCATTCTAGCAATATACTCCACTCAACTCATGAAAACTTTTTTCCATCCTGTCCGATCTAAAGGTCATAGCTTCAGTCAAACCACATATTATCGTATCCTTGCTAACTCTACTTACGTTGGCTTCAAGCTTCCCTTCCCCTACTATTACCCTTAATTGATTTTCTCTCATTTTATCTCCAATTGGTGCTACATTAACCATCTCACTAATGTGTTCATTTCTAATTATATATTTTCTTGGTTGCCACACATCCATCTCAACATTTGCATTTTTATCACACTCACTTTATGCCAACTCTAGCAAATACTGGTTTTCCAAATTCTAAATATATAGAGTATATTTTTTTCTTCTTTTGTGTCTAAAGCTTGGTAAGGGGGATGGAGAATTGGAAGGGAATGTAGGTAGGTAGGAGGGACATAAAAATAATCCCTAAAGGAAAGGAAGCGGTTTGTGTTTGGTTGGTAGGAAGGGTGAACTGTCGCCTGAATTTGGTCTAGGGTCGTGTTGTGACCCGTTTTCGACCTGACAATCCGTTTTTCATTTGCGGATTGTGGACCCTGTTTAGTACTCTCTTGTAGCCCGATATATAAGGGCGTTTAAGGTTTGGAGTGGTATATTGAGAGACACTGAAAATCGCAGAAAAGAGGCGAGAGCGAGGGCTATGGTTTGGGGGGCTGAAACCTTTCGCCGGATCTTTGCCGTGGATGTAGACACAACTTTTGTCGAACCACACTAAATCTTTGTGTTCTTTGTTCGTGGTGTGTTTATTTTTCTGTCGTGTTTTGTGATTTGTTCTTGGGTTTGTTGCGTTTGTCATAACAAGAAGCAAAGGGGCTTTTTTTAGTTTTGGAGAAAGTGTCTTTCCCTCCTTCTGTTTGGTTGAGAGCGATGGAACGCAGGGAGGGAGTGAATATGTGTTGCTTGATGTGTCAGTATTCTTTTCCTTGGAGAGGGTGAGTATTCTTTACCTTCCTCTCTTTACATCCACTTCTGGGTGAAACGATTACACCCATTTCCCCTTTTATATCTACCAATCAGTGGATACTCCCTAGTCCATGCAATTCTTCCATTTTCCTTCCTTCCACTCTTTCGCATCACCAAATGGACCATATATCAATTTCTTGATTTCCCTAAATTTTCTGTGTACTTGGCTTTTGAATACGTTAAAAAACCAATATATTTGGTATTTTAACTTGAAAATAAGATAGTCTTTTTGAAAACGAGAGGAAATGGCAATGAGTGCGAGTTTATTTAGTATGGCCATTTCTTGGTATAATTTGTCATGTAATAAAGTCAAAGGTTTGGTCCCAGTGAATTCCTCCTGATATCCCCAGCCAATGGGACCAATATTGATGATGACCTTTCTCTCTCTCTCTCTCTCTCTAAACAGTTACCATATTTTCAAAACAGTGATTGAAGATAACAATTTACAAAAGCCTATCATGATGTCTGAACGAATCAATTGTACAAGTTTTCAGCAAATATTATGAGTGATGGCAGTCTATAAGTTTTTTTTTTTTTTTTTTACAAATTGTTTACCAAGTTAATGTATTAAGATGCCAAATTATTGATGCAAAACACACAGTAGAACAGTCGGATTTATGTTTAACGCTTCTTTCTTGTGCTATGACTTTCTAGCTCTATATTACTTCTGTTTATGCTTGGAATTCTCTCTCCTCTTATTCACATATATACTATGCTATATGTCTAGGTTTCTGAAGTTGATAAATACTCTACTTGGATAGATGTTTTGAATCTTTTTCTTGCCTATGATATAAAAATTCCAGAAAAGCAAATGAAATTATGTTTGATTGCATTCTAGTTGGAGCAAAAATTGTTGCTTTTTTAATATTAAATTTGGCCTTTTCTTTATACTCATACATTTAGGGCTACATCAAAGAACTGCGACGTACACCGCCATCATCATTAATCGCTACCTTACACTACTACCGCCATTTTTTCCACCATCCTATTCCGAACATCTATCTCTATCAGCTATCACTGCGAAACAATGAGTGAAGGGCATATGCATTCCTCTAATTTAAATGCAACTGCTTCCTCTATTGATGGCATCATACTATAATTGTGATCTCTTCTGAGTTCCTCTTCAATTCGTATACTCAAGTATTGCCTTTGTTTTTGCCCTCATCACCAGCACTATCGCTATTGGTGTAGGATATTTACACCTCAAATACATTTTTCTTCTAGGGTTACTGTTATAAGTAGTCTTCTACCTATGTCCTTTTCACTTTGCTGCAAAAAGAAAACCAGAATAAAATATACAAAGACTACCATACTACGTTCTTGTTTCTTAAAATTTCATTCGAAAAACCAAACCAATGTCTGAGATAGGTTGGGTGTAGAATGTTGCATCCGCTGTCGACAACTAATAATTCAGTTTTCTAAAGATCAATGTAAATAGTATTCTTTTGGGAGGTCAAACTTGAGTTATGTGGAAGCATCTTTTCAGGATGTCAAAGCTTAAAGACCCTAAATACCACGTGGGAAACAAGGATTGGCAATATCATTGTTGTATAGGCAAACGATTGGCTTGTCAAATAGCTCGTCCAGGCTGATTGAACAACCTGATGAGCTTAATTCTCACTCATTCAAAATTGTATGATCTGCGAGTTGTGCTGGAACCAAGCTTGGTCATCTTTGTTGGATTGTGTATGTAATTATTTGCTAGGTCTGTAGGACTTAACTTGGAAATTAAAGCTACAATCAATGGCAAAGAGGTAATTTTAACTCTTGCATATGCACTCTCCGTTCTGGTTCATGTTCTCATGCATTCATTCAATAAAAAAATCCTAATGATAGAAGGACAGGGCATATCAATTGATCAACGGAGCAAGCTCGACATTCAGAAGGCCTATGGTTATGATCATGTGAGTTGGAGCTCTTTTCTTTATTTGATGGAGAGGATGGGGTTCGGGGAGTGGTGGAGGTTGTGGATTGAGTTTTGCATTTACTCGGTGAGATTCTCGGTTTTTGTGAATGGGTCTTTGACTGGTTTCTTCTTGCGGGAGCTGAGGCAGGGGAACCTACTATCCTTTTTCTTGATCGTCATTTTGATGGAGGCTCTCTGCAGGTTAGTGTGGAGGGCAGTGGGGTTGTCCTTCACCAGAGGATTTATGGTGGGCAATGACTCTGCTGGTTAGTTGGAGATAATCCACCCGTTGTTTGCAAATGACACTTTACTTTCCGTGGTGCAGACAATTTTTAGTTAAGATATTTGAGGGGTGTTTTGATTTGCTTTCAGGCAGTCCTGGTCTGAAAGTCAATGTGGGGAAGAGTGTGTTGGTTTCAGTGGGGGAGGTTGCAAAGATCTGTTTCCTGGCTGACATCCTCGGCTGCGGAGTTGAATCTTTCCCTATTTCGTATTTGGGTTTGCGTTCGAGGAGAAAGGGTTGATGGGGAGAAGATACTGGGTGAGTTGGGCATGCCATGTCATTGGTATTTTACTCTAGATAATCTGTCGCGTTTGGGGAGGATTCTGGCTCTGGATAATATGAGGAGGAGACAGGTTATTGTTGGTGCTGCATGTTTAAGAGAGATGAAGAGTCAGTAGATCATCTCCTGTTGTATTGCCCTATGGCTTGGGATAGTGGAGGCTTGCTTTTGGCTTGTTCAGGGTCCAATGGGTCATGCCTTGATTCTAGAGAAGCATGATAGAGGCTTGGAGAGGTTGTACAGTGGGTTCCCAAACCCGTGGCTTTTGGAGGGTGGCGCCTTTGTGGGTTTGGTAGTGCTTGTGGATGGAACGGAATAGGAGATCCTTTGATGGTGGGGAGACTCCTATTGGGGGCGTTTAAATTATCTTTTGTTAGTTCTCTTCTTTTTTCTTTTTTTATTTCGGGTTATTGGGAGAAATTGTAAATCCATGGGGGAGATTGGATAAATTGAGAGTTTAGGGGCCCTATTTGTCCTAGTGTAGCTTTTGCAAGATGCGTTCCCCGTTTGAACACTTCCTACTAGAACCGTACTTGAACCAAAAAAAAAAAAAAAATCGTCTCTCTTTTTAATCTTGACTCTATAGGATTCTAAACTTTATTATATAAGGACCACGCATGTTCAGAAAACCAAGGAAAGCAATCTCTGAGCATTCTTAGATCATCCTAGAGTGCATTCTAGTAGTTCTTTGCTAGAATTTTCTTTCTTTCATACTTCAACACTGACTCGCTGAGAATATGTTCATGAGGTGTTACTTGTCAAAAAATATATATATATGTTCATGAGATGTTGGTCATCAAATTTGTTGTGCTAATGGAGAATTCAGTACCTAAGTTTTCTGACACGACGAGCATGAAGCTTAGTTGACTACTCATGGAGATCAGTGTGCTTAAGGAGTGGATCTATTGACAAACCAACACCTAGATACAAGAATCGAGGGCTTGGCCTTAGTTAGTGACCTAGGAAGCAAGAACATGCTTAAAATGGCAAAGATTCCGTTTATCAATGTGCTTAAGGAGTGGATCTATTGACAAACCAACACTTAGATACAAGAATCGAGGGCTTGGCCTTAGTGACTAGGAAGCAAGAACACGCCTAAAAAGACAAAGAATCTATGTTGGACACCGACATGCGCCGGACACCTACAACCGTCGGGCATGCCCCGACACGTGTTGGACACACCAAAAAAAATGTGTCTAATATATATATATATATATATTAAAAATAAACACCACAGAGACATTGTGGACACGCGTCCGACATGCCATGAATACGTGTCCAACACGTGTCCCATTCTTGGAGATTTTTTATTTTAATTTTTGATATGTAAGTCATGCTTGGGTATTTTTAAGAAAGTAGTAGAAAGAAAGGTGGGTTGAGGTGAAAATATGAGGAATTGTTTAATAACTTTTAGTAATATGTTAGTCATTACATAATTACTTAAAAAAATTTGATTTATAAAACACAATCAGATATTTATGTTTATATTTTAGTTCAAAGGTTCAAACTCTTGCACGATCACCTTTGACTCTCTCTTGTTCTCCCATCGAAAATCTTCGTTTCGGTGGATGGTGAATCTCTCTCTCTCTCTTTCTCTTCTTTATTCTTCTTCACAAACCCTAGATGCTTCTTTTTTTCCTTTCACAACAAAATTCTTTTTGTCTCTTTTTCCTTTTTCCTCTTGTTTCCATTAACTTTTCCTCTTCTATATATTCTTATCTTTATTTTTAACCAAGCCTAATTCTTTTTTCTAACAAAACCTTAATCCTCTTTGTTTTTTTTTTTTTTTTTCTCTTTCTTAACTCTATCTATCATTCTTTCTTTTTTTCCTATCACAACACAAAATTTATTTTTCATTATTAGGTTAATAAAAAATCTCACACACACACACATATAATATTTATTATTCGCTGTGTCCCCGCCGTCCTTGTGTCCTAATTTTTAGGATTTGCGGTGTCCGTGTCGTGTTGTATCCGTGTCCCGTATCCATTTCCGTGCTTCTTAGGTCATGAGAAATGGTAACTAGGGGCTTTCTAGGATTTAGAAAACCTGTCAACCTAATTGTGTTATATTTTTCTTATAGTGGATTTGATCTGTTTGGTTTAGGTTCCTGGGTTTTTCCACGTAAAGATACATGTTCTCATTGTGTGGTCGTCTACTTTCCTTTGCATACTTTTATATGCCTGCAATCATGATGGATGCCACGAATTGCATGCTTTTTAGTTAGTTTATTTTTGAATTGTTGTTATATAAGTTAAAATTAAAAAATGAGTTAAAAGCAGCTGATTAAGTAATTATGAACTATTCGTCCTTCCTCTGGGTCTGGATCACAGGCTCAGGCTACTCCATATTAGCACCTTGGATTGCGTTCTTAATCCCTCATTTTCAATGTCATTTTCCGTATCTGTGTTGTTTCTCATGCGATCATAACAAATTTGTGTTGTTTCTTTTACATTGTTATTTTATAACAGGATTTTTTTTTCCTAGCAATTTTCATTTTGACTCTTATTAAAGAGCATGAAATTTTAGCTCCGTTCATGTCGCTGTAGCATACAATTTGTTAGTTGAGCTGAAAACTTGGGACTTGATTTATAAATATATGCTTTGCCTCAGCTTTGATTGGTTATGGAATCAATGTTCTATCTTCCATATTCAAATGTTCACTAATAAATTATTTTGTCTTTTATCATTATAGATTGAAGTGATAATGAAATTTGAAGAAATGTGCTTGGAGTCTGCTAAGGAATTTTCTCCGTTATTTGTACAGGTATTCTTATTCTAATTGGATTAAAGTGGTTTATGCAATGCATGATATGTGTCCATTAAACTAAATGATGCTAATGTTCTCTCGTGCTAATTGCCTGGTTGGCTGGTTAAATTTTGTGCTTCTGTATGACAACTTTTTGTTCCAAGAAGTGTTTTTTTTTTTTCATAAATGATTTATCAAAACTACACTTTGAATATTACTCTATGTCATGCTTAGTGCCTTAATTTTACATAGCTGGTCCAAGACCAGAAAAGGAGGGGTTTTTTTAGGGAAACTTCCATTTGGTCTATGTAAACATATTTAATATTAGTATAATCTCTCTCCACCAAATCTGTACTGTTACCTCATGTCAGAGCAAACATATGCTAGAATATTGGTTGATTTCTCTCATTTCACTTGTCGATGAGATTGCAAAACCTTATATTTGGCTTCTTGTTTAAAGGATTCGGCCTTTTATAATATATGCTGCTAGAAATCAATCATCCAGGTTAGTATGATCTAGAGTACAGACATAGCCAACCAATTTGTACTGCAAAGTTTTAAAATAACAAGAATTATTCAGTGAAAGCATTATTGACCACAAGAGCAGCAACTCTCTCTTCTTTTTTTCCCGTTGTATTGATACGCTAGATTTTGAAACTCTTTTAGATCCCAAGCAGCATGTATTCCTCATGCTTTATAATTTGATTATTGACCCAAACTATCTTTTACCATTTCTTGACGTAGTGGTAAAAGTTAGGTTGTCCACTATGAGAACGTTGAGAGCTGTCAGTTTGTGCAAATATTGCCAGTGGTTTGAATTGTCTGCAGTTACTTGTACCATTACACTTGATTAATGGGGCCATATCAGGAAATGACCTGTATCTTTTGGGCAAAAAGTATGTGTTAGGTCAATATGACTTATGTTGGCATATTTTGTGAATAAAAAATTGACTTACTTATTTTTATTTTATTTTTTAGTTTAGTTAGAATTTTCAAAAGTAAGTGTCTGGTAGTTACATCTTGGTTATGGTTGAAGATGGAATCGAAGCTTCACTCAAGGGTGAAAGCGTAATCTTCTACGCCAATGATATAAAGGTAAATTGACACTCTTATGCACTCACAAAAATTAGGGTTCATATGTTCATAATTTAGGGTTTTGAGATTGATGACTTGAAAACTACCTTTTCGGGAATTTTTCTATCTATTGCAGAATATTTCGATTGATCCAGATATTGGTTGTATACTGGAGTCATGTCAATCCAGCAACATGTGTCTCTATCAATCGAGGTATTCGAAACAGCAGTTTCCTTTTTTGGGGCTAGGTTACCTGGATCCTTCAAAAGTATCTAACACTTTTGATTGGACATGCACCTAAAAAATATGTCAAATAATTCAACTATATTAAATGCAGTTTCCGTTTTTAGGGTTATGTTAAATGGACCCTTCAAGAGTATCCGACACTTTTGGTTGGACACGCACATAAAAAATATTTATATCAAATGTTTCAGTTGTATTATATTATTGTTTTTAAGATGCAATACAAGCAAGACGAGAGTTTGTCATGGTAGAGACGCGGTCGGAGTCTACTGCTCCGTCCAGTCACCAGAGTCATTTACTCCGGTGAAATCCTCTGCTATTTTTCTTTCGCTTTTCGCTCTCTCTGTTGGGTCTATGGTTCGTGGTTGGTGTGTATTGCTGGTCTGGTTTGGTTTTTCTTCTCTGTCATGCGCTCGTTCTTGGAGGTTGCTAGATTGCCTCGCTTGTTCCAAGGTGGATCTGCTAGATCTGCAAATCCGTATAGAGGCCCATCTATTTTCTTGGATGATGATTCGGTACGAAGAAGAAGAGAAGACCTTCGGTCGTGTCTGGTTGGAAAATTTGATAAGGAAGTGGGTGATGGGGCTCAAATTGCTGCCTGGGCTTCGCGTGCTTGGAAGGTCTCCTCTGGTGTGATGGTCTCGTCTCTGCCGGATTCTTTATTGCTTTTCCGGTTTCCTTCCTCGACGGAAGCTTCTCGAGTTCTCAAGAGGGGTCGCCGTGACTGGGGAACGGCTTCTCTCTCTCTGGAAGCTTGGAATTTTAGGGTAGGGTGCTCGGAGGTGTTGAAAGAGCAGGGTCTGAAAAAGGTGACGCTGTACGGTCTTCCTCTCCACCTTTGGAGCCATGCTCTGTTTGTGACAGTTGGTGATCTTTGTGGGTTCATTTGGGTGGATGCCGATGAAGCTTTGGATGCTGAAAGAGTCCGAATCACTGTCTCTGATGGGAAGGTTTGTCCTCCGTTTGTGTTCATTCATGATGACCAGTTCTACTATAAGGTGTTTGTTTGGGAGGAGAAGCATCCTGAGCTTGTTCCGACGACTGATAGCCTGGAAGGTGGGGAGGGTTCGCACTTGCTTAAGGAGAAAGTATGGTTGAGGTAGGAATCCATGGGGAAAAAAGGTATGGCTGAGTTCTAGGCATGGAAGGAATGGAGTGAAGACTTATGGATTCGCAATTCGGAGTGTTTTAGAAGGATTTACAATCAGAATCGCAAGGATGGGCTTTCCTTTTTGTCAGATCGCCGATGGCAGGAAGCGTCTTGGAAGTTGCAGTGGGGTGGAGGTCTCGCCGGAAATAGTCGTAGACCTTTTGCGCAGCAGCGAGATCAAACAAGACGACGAGGTGGCTTCCACGCTTAGCAGGCGCGTGGGAGGGGGAGGGTTCCAGCTTTTCCACGTGGTTGGCGCTCAGGCTTTGCCCGTTCCCAATGGTGAACAACTGTTCCCACGATCTATTCAAATTCGGCTCCCCACTCAGATGGGCTTTATGGTGGGCTTGAGAATGGGGCCCTTGTTTCTAATAATGTTTTGCCTGGGTCTGTTGGGCCGCTTGTTGGGCCTAATAGGCCTACTGCTAAAAGGCCTCTGTCAGATTCTTTGGAATTGGATTGTGGTGGGCAAGTCTCTTGTGAGGTGGTTGGTGGGCCGAGCGCCCATTCTTCTAGAGATGATTCTGTTGGTGGACTTTCGGGGTTGAAGAGTGGGCCGAGTTGTGGATTTGGGTTTCTGTGTAATAGGTTTGAGCCCTTGGTATCAATGAGTGATGACAGAGATTCCTGTGCTGCCGGGTTGTTATCTGCGAATGTCAAGGTTGATCGACGAGTGAAGGATCCGGTACTGAGACATCGGTTGCCCAAAAAGAAAATTATTCTTCCTGCTCTTCGCAAAAAGTGGTCAAGGAAAGATGAACAGAAATGGGTGGCATCTTCGCAGTCGGGGTTCGATCCGGGTATGTTTTCAGTTTCAGTTCCCTCTGACTCCCCTCCTCCTAAGTTGTGCTCTCCTTCTACTTCTTCTCCTTCTTTGGGGGGGTCGATGACTTCACTGGATCGGGTGATGGGTGGGACTGTCATGGTTTCTCAATCCTTGGCACCGGTGATTAAGAAGGACTCGGTTTTGGCTGGAAGGCATGTTGGTGATTCTGGTTATAGGCTTGGTTTCTCTCGGCGAAGTGAAGGTATGGGTGAGGGAATTACGGTTTGTATTGGTCGGGATGTGAAGGTAAAGTTGGATGATGAAACAGCCTCTGTTCTATTGAAGGAGTTACGGGACCACTTGGCTTTAAAAGGCTTTCTTTCTGATTCAGGAGATGTTTTGACAGAGGAGGAGCCTATTTCACAGTATTGTTCGCATTCTTCTTCAGTTCTTGATGATTGGGAGGGAGCTGCAGGTTCATCCCTTGATGGGGACTCGGGCATGATTCCATGGGAAGATTTGGAACAAGCAGTGAATTTGGCTGTCCCTTTGGCTGTTGTTCCACCAGGGGAGAATTGGGTTAGTGACTCGACTGAGGTTGGAGTGAATGACCTTGAGGAGGAGTGGGTGAGGGAGAAGGGCTTGGAAGTGGGCCCTTTGTTGGGTGTTTCTTTTGAAGGCAGGGTGGATGAGGCGATGTGTTTGTTTAATGATGTCCTCAGTTCCAATTTTAAGGTAAAGGTGAGTGATAAGGTGGGGCGGCAGGAGGAGAGAGGGGAGACAATGTTGCAAAGTCCCAATGATGTTATCACATACGAAAGGAGGAATAGGGGGTCCAGATCTGGAGGGAGAGGTGGTGGAAGGAGGGGAGGATTTGCTTTTCCAAGTGTTTCCCTATGAAGCTACAAATTCTCTCATGGAATGTCCGGGGTCTCAATGATCCGGTTAGAAGGAAAGTGGTGAAGTCGGTTATTCGTAAAAGTAGGGGTCATGTGGTGTGTCTCCAGGAGACTAAACTGGCTTCGATGTCTGATAGGATTGTGAGGAGTCTTTGGGGGGGGGGGGGGGGGGGGGGGCGATTTGTGGAGTGGGTTGCTTTGGATGCTATTGGCTCCTCGGGGGGCATTTTGATCTTGTGGGACAACAGATGGGTGTCTAAAGTGGATGCTAAGGTTGGGCGTTTCTTTGTTTCTTGCATTCTTGCTTTTGTTGAGGATGGAGTTCATTGGATTTTTTCGGGTGTTTATGGTCCTTCAGAGGACGGTGAGCGCCACTTGCTTTGGGAGGAATTGGGGGAGATTCGAAGTCAATGGTGTTTGCCTTGGTGTATTGGAGGGGACTTCAATGTTGTTCGTTCTCCGTTTGAGAGGTCAAGGGGAGGTAGGTGGACGTCTGATATGGAGGCTTTCTCGGAGTTTATTGATGAGTTTGGGCTGATTGATTTGCCCTTGGTTGGAGGTCCGTTTACTTGGTCAAGTGGCCGCTCTCCCCCTACCCTCTCTCGGATTGACAGATTCTTGGTGTCAGGGGAGTGGGAGGAGAGGTTCTCTGATGTTGTCTAGACTACTTTAGCACGTCTTATCTCTGACCATGTTCCGTTGATGTTAGATTGTGGGGGACTGTGTAGTAGACGTTCTCCTTTCAGATTCGAGAATATGTGGCTGCGGGCTGAGGGCTTTCTGGAGAGGGTCCGTCTTTGGTGGGAGGGGTATGGTGTGGCTGGCACCCCTAGTCACGTGCTCGCAGGCAAATTGCGTCTTTTAAAGGTGAACCTTAAGACTTGGA